CGGCTGGTGTCCTTGAGCTGCAAGGCTGGAGACTTGGGAATGCAAGAAAAGCGGGATGGCCCCCCCGTCCCGCCGGCGGTGCCAGTGACGGCCTCAGCCCTGGCGGGGATCTTGGACCGGCAGTGGTCCAAGCTCCGGCCAATTAGGGAGCTCCATCAAGGGAGGCTCATTGCAGGGATTGTCCGGCAGCTTTAATCCGTTCCGGACTTCAGGGTCCCCACCAAAATCACGTGGGCTCTTCGCTTAGTGACACCTGTTCGGCGGCAGGCGCCCAGGGACAGATATTCACGAATGGGCCAGATAGAGAGACTAGTTGCGAAGCCGTATATCGGAACGAATTGCTTCCCAAACAGCACAACTGGGCGACGCATGTCTACCAAGGTCTCGCGTGGAAGAGGACAGTCTGAACGGATGGTCTAACGTTCGTCATTTCCCCCGTACTTGGCCCCCCTTGAACCCACAGCAAACGTGTACCTTCAAACAGCGTGAGCTTCCCTTAGGTAGCTAACACGTATTCCGCCCCGTCCCCTAGGCCGTCCAATCCCCACCGCCCAGCTTCGATACATCCCACTCGAACACCCCCCGACTTCCCCTTGAACACTGTCCTCAACCTCACCGCGCCGGCACTTCGCCAGCAACACCACATCAACCGCCCACGATGGCCTCCTTTCTGGAAAATGCGTATAGCTTGGTGCATCAGGACAATGCTGCCGACGTCCCTTCCCTCTCCGACCTGCGCACGCAGCTCGAGAAGGGCACCGACGAGAGCAAGGTCGAGACCATGAAGCGCATTCTCACGATCATGCTCAACGGCGACCCGATGCCTAACCTGCTCATGCACATCATCCGATTCGTCATGCCCTCGAAGCACAAGGCTCTGAAGAAGCTCCTGTACTTTTACTACGAGATCTGCCCCAAGCTCGACTCCAATGGCAAGCTGAAGCAGGAAATGATCTTGGTCTGGTTCGTGGCTGGCTCTTCGTCCCTTGGGAGCTGCGACACCCATGCTGACACTCTGGCCTTAGCAACGGTATCAGAAACGACCTTCAGCACCCCAACGAGTACATCCGAGGAAACACGCTTCGCTTCCTGTGCAAGCTCAGAGAACCCGAGCTCATTGAGCCTCTCCTTTCGTCCGCGAGACAATGCCTTGAGCACCGCCACGCCTACGTCCGCAAGAACGCCGTCTTCGCCGTCTCCTCCATCTTCACACACTCCGCTTCCCTCATTCCCGATGCCTCCGACCTCATTGCCACATTCCTCGAAGCCGAGACCGACGCGACATGCAAGCGCAACGCTTTCGCCGCCCTGGCGTCCATCGACCACGAGAAGGCCCTGCTCTACCTGAGCACCGTATTCGAGGGTATCCCGAACGCAGAGGAGCTTCTGCAGCTCGTCGAGCTTGAGTTCATCCGCAAGGATGCCGTCCAGAACTCCCAGAACAAGGTGAGTTCCCCGGCAAGTATGGGCTGCGCGCACGTCTAACATGAAGCAGGCGCGGTATCTCAGACTCATTTTCGACCTCCTCGAAGCAAACACCTCAACCGTCGTGTACGAAGCCGCCTCGTCATTAACCGCCCTCACCAACAACCCCGTCGCAGTCAAGGCCGCAGCCGCCAAGTTCATTGAGCTGAGCATCAAGGAGGCAGACAACAACGTCAAGCTCATTGTGCTTGACCGCGTCGACCAGCTGCGGAAAAAGAACGAGGGTATTCTGGACGACTTGGTCATGGAGATCCTCCGTGTCCTCTCCAGCCCCGACATCGATGTCCGACGCAAGGCCCTGGACATTGCCCTCGAAATGGTGTCGAGCAAGAACGTCGAGGAGGTTGTCCTGTTGCTCAAGAAGGAGCTGTCCAAGACCGTCGACCAGGAGTACGAGAAGAACACCGAGTACCGCCAACTTCTCATCCACTCCATCCACCAGTGCGCCATCAAGTTCTCCGAGGTTGCGGCCAGCGTTGTCGACCTGCTCATGGACTTCATCGCCGACTTCAACAACACCTCTGCCGTCGATGTCATCAACTTTGTGAAGGAGGTCGTGGAGAAGTTCCCCAAGCTGCGCAAGCCCATCGTCCAGAGGCTGGTGGCCACCCTCAGCGAGGTGCGCGCTGGAAAGGTATACAGAGGAATTATGTGGATCATAGGAGAATATTCCTTGGAGGAGCGCGACATCAGGGATGCGTGGAAGAGCATTCGTGCCAGCCTTGGCGAGATCCCGATCCTCGCCTCGGAACAGCGACTTCTTGACGGTGATGGTGAGGAGGAGAACAAGGAGCAGGTCAACGGCCACTCCAAGCCCGCGGCGCCCACCGGCTCCCGAAAGGTCCTCGCCGACGGCACCTACGCTACCGAGACAGCGCTCACCAGCCAGTCCTCGGTTGCCGCCAAGCTGGAGGCTGTCAAGGCCGCCCAGAAGCCTCCCCTGCGCCAGCTGATTCTCGATGGCGATTACTACCTCGCGACCGTTCTCTCCGCCACCCTCGTCAAGCTGGTTATGCGCCATGCCGAGATCTCTGCCGAGTCCGCGCGCACCAACGCTCTCCGTGGTGAGGCCATGCTCATCATGATCTCCATCATCCGCGTCGGCCAGTCGCAGTTCGTCAAGGCCCCCATCGACGAGGACTCGGTGGACCGCATCATGTCTTGCGTCCGGTCGTTGGCCGAGTTCACCCAGAACAAGGAGCTCGAAACTGTCTACCTCGACGATACCCGCAAGGCGTTCAGGGCAATGGTCCAGGCTGAGGAGAAGAAGAAGGCCGCCAAGGAGGCTGTCGAGAAGGCCAAGACGGCCATCCAGGTTGACGATGTCGTCCAGATCCGCCAGCTCTCGAAGAAGAACGCCAGCGACGGGATGGATGAAATCGAGGTTGACTTGGAGAGGGCAACTGGCGGAGAGGCTACCGCAGAGGATCTGTCGTCTAAGCTCAGCCGCGTTGTCCAACTGACCGGTTTCTCCGACCCTGTCTACGCCGAGGCCTACGTCAAGGTGCACCAGTTCGACATCGTCTTGGACGTGCTGCTGGTCAACCAGACCATGGAGACGCTGCAGAACCTGTCCGTCGAGTTTGCTACCCTTGGTGACCTCAAGGTGGTTGAGCGCCCGACGACACAGAACCTGGGTCCCCACGACTTCCACAACGTCCAGTGCACCATTAAAGTCTCCTCCACGGATACCGGTGTCATCTTCGGCAACGTCGTCTACGACGGCGCCCACTCCACGGATACCAACGTTGTCATCCTCAACGACCTCCACGTCGACATCATGGACTACATCCAACCCGCGACGTGCACCGAGACTCAGTTCCGCACGATGTGGACCGAGTTCGAGTGGGAGAACAAGGTCAACATCAACTCCAAGGCCAAGTCTCTCCGCGACTTCCTCGAGCAGCTGATGGCGGCAACCAACATGAACTGCCTCACCCCCGAGGCCAGCATGAAGGGAGACTGCCAGTTCCTGAGCGCCAACCTGTACGCTCGCAGTGTTTTCGGTAAGTTTTCTCGGCCAGCAATGAACATGACGTATGCTAACCATTGTAGGCGAGGACGCTCTGGCCAACTTGAGCATCGAGAAGGAGGGCGAGGACGGACCCATTACGGGCTTCGTCAGAATAAGAAGCAGATCGCAAGGCCTGGCTCTGAGCCTGGGCTCCCTCAAGGGCCTCAACAAGATCGGCTCAGCGGCATAAGGGGGTGGAGGGTGAGGTTCTGGTGCTATATATCGAGAAAGCAGTGTCGCCCCGGCTGCCCACGGCTACGCCCGTGGGTGTAATGAGAGCCATGGAGGTGTCATGATGGCTCCGAAACCAAAAGCAGAGACACGATGCGTGGGAGAGGGACAACGGACGGCTGGCTTGGTTGGAGCGGCTGACAGCGTTGAAATGGGAATGAATGAGGGAAAAAGGGGGGAAAGTCTTGTCTATGTTTTTCTTCCCTCGGCTCCCCCCCCCCCCCCCTCTCTCTTTGTGGTAAGAGTAAAAAGTGCAGCCCGGTCAGGCGTCATGAGTAGGTAGAAATGAGATGTTCTTCATGTTCCATTTGGAAGATTGGGTCAGGTCTGTGAATTTGCGTGCAGGATAAGGCTTGCATAATTGTGAACCGTCGTACATGGACTCAAGTTGGTTCTTGACCCACCCAACAGGGCTTACCTCTAGGCTGGAGAGGGAACACAAGAGCGTTACATCAAGCCATTGGCCAAAGACAACAGGTCAAGGGAAGATGCGACAGGTCTTGTCATGTTTTCTCATACATGGGGTATTTCACATATTGTAACGAAGCAAGGTGAATAGTCAGAGCGGGATCAGATGTTTGTACTATTCTCCGTCCCAAGTAACAACCCCTGCCAGGCTACTCGGGGAAAACCACACGCCAGTTTGATCGCAATGATCGCTATTAACAACTACAGAGAATTACGAAAAGAGAGAGAGAGATAGAGTATGGGAAAAGAAAAAGGGGGTCCAAGACAAGCACGCCCCTGCAACGATGTGCTGTATAGTCAAACAAACGCCCTGCAATGGCTCGCCAGATTTATTGCTTGATTATCTGGGGAAAGATTCTTCCCCCGGTCGCCCTGAACGCCAGATTCCGAAAAGGAGAGAGTGAGAGAGAGAGAAGGAACGCTGAAAGAGTCTCGGACCGCGATGAAAGGGGGTATTTATCCAGACTGAGAGAGAACCAGACCAAAGGAAATTTTGTGCTGATGTAACAAGTCGATGTGAGGAGAGGGATATATGAAAGGGCGTAGCGTGCGCACGTGGAGGAGTGTCGTCTGCGCTGGGCCGGCTCCTGAACAGGCATGCACGTCAAGATGCTGGCCGCTGGTGCGTGGTGACTGCGAACAACAGCCGGAATGGCCACGACAAGCGCACCTACTGGCTGGCCCCTGTGACCGGGGACAGTTGCGGGCTCGGTGGGCCGAGTACCATGCGAGTCCTGACGACGCGCAGTGTAACAGACAGCCAGGGCGCGTGCTGTCTCATCGGAGATTGTCCTCGATGATGCTATCGGTCGAAGACGAGGGCGTTGACCACATGGCTCTCCTGCCAGCCCTGCTCGGTGAGGGAGAGGTTCTCCTTGAGGATGCGGCCCATGTAGGCGATGCGGACCTTTTTGGCGGCGGCAAGCTAAGTAAGAAATATGTCAGAGGATGGCGGTTGTGGAAAAAGACATGCGCAGGGCTGACTTACTCCTGACTCCTCCTGGATCTTACGGGCCACGACTCTGACGCTGTCCGACTTTGCAAAGTTGACGGTGACATCGCGCGCCGTCTCGCTCAGGCGGGCCAGCACCGAGAGCTGGTCCCGGGCGTCGACGACGGCCTTGCCCTTTTCTTCTCGCCGCCGGACGTTGTCGTCTTCGTCCTCGTCGAGCTCCTCCGTGGTCTCCTCCCCTCCGGCGAGATCGTCCTTGAGGTCCCTGGTGGAGAGCGCCTCGTCGGCGTCGTCGATGGTGGCGTCGTCCTCGACGAGGTTGGTCGGGTCGGCGACCAGCCACTCTGCCAGGGCGTAGTAGTTGCCCAGCTGGTCGTACGCGCCCTGCGCGAGGTCGCCCGTCGGGAGCGTGATCTCGGCCGCATCGAGGATGCCCTGCGCCGTCGCGAGGCCGTTGGTGCCGTCCGCCGCGGCGCCCTGGCCGACGGGGTCCCAGAGGACCTCGAGGGCGGCGCGCAGGGACTGCCAGACCTCGGGGCGGCCCGTGACGCGGGTGTCGAAGAAGTCGGCGCGCTCGCGGTCCAGGGCGGCGCGGGTCCAGGCACGGCCCTTGGAGGCCCACACATGGCGACGCAGGGGCTTGTTGATGTGTTTGTCGAGGGGCATGTTGGAGGGGCGGCCGCGGCGGCGGCCGGACGAGGTCTGCGTCGTCTCGGCGGCGGCAGGCGAGGCGTCGCGGGAGACGGAGGGGGCCGCGGCGGGGTTGATGGCTCTCGCGGAGCCCGTGTTGGACGGGTCCGGGTATGGGGCGTCGCTCTCGGGCGGGAGATGCAGCAACCCTACGGGAAGGATGGTTAGTTTGCGAACCGGTGGGAGGTGGGTTGGTCGTGCAGATGCATGTCTGGTAGTGCGCTTCGGGCGCACGGCCGGAGCCGTCTACGGTGGGTGAGGGCACGAGGAGAGAATGAGAGATGAAAATACCATTTTGTCAGAGCTTCGCGGCACGAAGAGGGGCAAGTAAGAGTATGCGTGGGGGTTCCTATTCTAGCAGGTCGAGATGTCTCGTGCCATCGCCTGGGATCGTCCGTCCTGGTGCGCAGAGTTGTCGGCGACTGATGGGTATGAGTGGTGTAAGTAAGCTCGAGCGGCACAAGAATCGCAAAGGCGTGTCTGTGTGACTTTGCGAAAGAGCAGCGAACGGCTGTATTATAGGGCAAGGAGAAGGTAAGGTAGGAAAAAGGAGGAGAGGCGAAAATCGGGCGATAGTCGTAGGGAGGCCTGGACCCTTGCTTGGTCGATGTGACGAACTGTCGCTGGTTGGTTGGTTGGTTGGCGGACAGGCCTGCTCGTGTGTTGGTTTGCCGGACACGAACGTGGGGAGCAGCGAATGGAGGAAGAGGTGGTGGTAGTGAGCGAGCGGCAGATCCCAACGTATGTGTCTGTGAGGAGTTTGGAGTGCTTGTGTATATCGTGGGCGAGAAGGGGCGAAGAGGACGAGGAAGAGGGGAGAAATGACAAGTGACGAGCGGACGACGAGACCGGGACGAGGTTCGGGGTCGGTGGGCTGGCGGTAGTGACGAACGGGGGACCTGGACCTCGCTCTCAGGCCGGCCTGACTGACTACTGCCTTCTTCTCTCTCTCACTGCTCGCTCACCTTGTCGCGCTGAGAAGATTCAAGACTGGACGGGGCCGGGAGTGATGGTTTACACTTTCAGCGGTCGTAGTTCCCGGAAGAGGATTTCGGTAGCAGGGGTGGTGCTAGCTGCGATAGCGCAAGACCACCTGAATTTTGCTTGTTTCCGCTTTAGAAGCCCGCCTAGGATGACCGAGGAGATAGCTAAGCAATGAATAACAGGTCTGGACCTCGACTTTTTGTCCCTTTCTCCCGCCCCCCTAGGTGCGCCCTGCCCCAGTCCCGGTCGTCGCTCTTTTCGTCCGTCATTAACTTTGATTATTATTATTATTTTAGGTGTCCCGCGTGCAGTGCTCCCCAACCAGGGCCTCCATTCCGTCCAAATCTCCGTTTGCACGTGGCGCCTGCTTTGTCCGCAAAACGCTGAAGACAATAGAACTGAGACAATGCATCGACCCAGTCAGCCAAGCCGGGCAGTCTTTTCTGGTCTTCGAATGGATTTTCCCTCCGTCTTCCCTTTTTTTGTTTCTTTCCCTAGCTCTTGGTCACAAGTGCTTTGGCAAGTTCCACCAGAAAGCCGGCCCAACACAGGGTCCTCCCCAGCAATCCTGGGCCTAGCTCACGGTCCACCGGCGGGACGTTTCCCTCCATTGGTGCTCGGTGAGCTGGTAATGGTGCTCGAGTCGTGCTACGATCAAGGTTGCTGAGCCACCGGGCCTCTCACAGCGCCTGGTCTTGATCAATGACACAAACAAGCTCGCGGACGCAAGTCATGACCGAGGAACAGATGCCCCAAAACTCGCACTAAGAGAAGTTACTTCATGACGACAGGCGCTGTCAAGACGGCTTCGTCAGCGACAGAGCCCACAGACGGAGACGGCTAGGCGGGTGTCTCGTATCACACTCGACGAACCCAATTAAGACGCCGTTGCCGAACTTCCGTTACCTCAACCACGCTGTTTCGGGGACCTGGCTCTTAGTTACACGATCCATATGCTTCTCCGAAATCAGATCTGCCACCTCTCTCCGGCGCTTGGGTTGCGTTGATTATGTCACTATCAATTCCCAAGAATGTCCTGTCTACGACAAACTCGCAAATATGGCCTTTGTCAACGGCGAATCCAACACAGGACATGCTCCCTCCCTCCCTCCCTCCCGAGGCGTCCACCTTTTCAGACGAACCGAACGCACCGGCTTTCCCATGAAGATCCGACTGTGTGGGCGGCTTCATCGAATCCACGGAGCCTCCGTGTCATGCCGTTTCGGCACCTGGTCCAGTCTTTTGTGGCCGCTGCACCCCTGATCTGTACCCATCCCCGGGCCCAGTTTTCAATCTTTCCCTGCCAGTCCTCCCACCCACCAAACGGCAGATCAACGGTCGCGACCGATGACGTTTGAACACCACCTGTCATTGACAGCGGCCCGGGCGGCCCAGTCTTCTTGTCCGGTGGCTGTGAGGTTGGCGAGACGCCCGTTGTAGCCGTTGCAGGCCGTTTCTCTCAAAACCCAACGGCTTCTCGTTGTAGTGTCTGCCGAGCAATCACCACAGGAATTTACGACAGTTCTTGCTGTCACATAGGCACTTAACCATGTCGCCCTGCTTGCTCTTGTCCTTGGCATCGTCGTCTTCCTCATTGACGCCGTCGACGTAGTCAAACGTCAGCTCCTCTCCTCTCGGGATGTCCTTGAGCGCAAACATGGCAATATCGTGGATATGCTTGTCGGCGTGGTCTCCCACACGCGCGAAAATGCGCAGGTTCGGGTCGCATGAGTGGTTGATGAACCGGGTTGGGCCAGACATGAACTCCCCGTCGATCTCGAGTGGCGGTCCTCGGAGGCGCACGTCGGGCGACTTCTTGTCGGTGAACTTGTCGAGCGCGAAGAGGTACACGTCCTTCCGCTCGGCGATACTGGACGCACTGCGGCGACGCTGGGCTTCTTGTGGCGTGATAATCTCTCCAATGTACTTGTCGACGAACTGTCCCTTTTTGATATCGACCAGCGAGCGTACTCCTGTCATCCAACAATCAGCCACAGGGTACTCGTATTACACGCACTTATGGGGGGCTTACCCCATCCAGTCCTCTCCGTCCGGAAGATCTGCAAAGGCACCTTGCGACCTCTTTCAACCACACGGTTCGGGCAGCTCTCGGCGCACGCACAGCCATCGTGGCATTCATAAATAGGTCGCTTTGACTTCAAAAACTTGCTGCGCAGCAGACCAGCCTTGGCACCGTGCATGTGGTACATGTAGACCTTTCTCCTTGCGTGCCCCTCATCGTCCGAGTCGTCCTCTTGCTCCTGCAGGCACAGGCAACCGCTGTACTGACATTCCTCAACGTCTTCACACTCGCAGCCGGTGCGGAAACTATCCTCGGCGGCCTGAACGCCGGTCCCGAGCTTCGAGTGTTGTAGAAACCGGAAGGTGGATGGGATGACTGCCTCATCTACTTCGTTCACTATCGTGATTGGGTATTGCTTGTGTTTCGGAAACGAACGGATCTGGCACCAATGGCAGTTTTCTTTTTCTTTTTCGAGAGCCTGCGAAAGACAAGGTCAGCTTGGGTGTCTGCACTGAAGTAGCTGGGAGGTTTGAGTATCACCCTAGCCGATGCCTTCGTACCAGTCGGCTCACTGCCGCCATGGTGGAAGAAGTGGCGCTCAGTAGCCGCCTCCATTTTGTCAGCTGTTCTTCAAGGAACGGAGACCTTTGGCAGCATCCCAGAGACGAAGAAATGGGTGTTGGTAGGCGGCCACAACCTGCCCATGGTGGTTCGAATTGAAGCCGCGGGGCAGACAAGCAGTGGGCGGGAAGCAAACCACTTTACGCGACGCGTCCGGTGCACGGTAACGGAGGTTCAGCTGACTCAGCCGACGCAAGTGGGGCCGTTATTCACCTTCCCGCTTCCCGACACCACCCTCAGGAAGTCCATCCCCCGTTCTCTTTTCGTGCTTTGCTAACTATTTACATCAAGCAGGCAGTATCGAGATAACAAAGATTCGGGTTAGCAGACTGCTCTTTGAGACTGTATGGCAATTATGTAACAAATCTAGTTATGTTGTGTTATCAACCGACCTAGCAGCGGCCACATGTGCTAACCCTGTCCCACAATCGAGCATTACATACATACCCCTTACGAGTTCGCAAATCTCAAACTCACAAGTTCCTAGGCTTGTTCTTGCACTGAGGCTTGAACGTCGACCCGAGCTCTCCCCACTTGATGTTGCTAAACGTCACGACAGGGTTTGGCTCGACCTTGACCACGTTCGCCGGGAAACCCTCCGTCTGATCGCACGGTCCGGCCTCGGGTGCGCCGTCCAGCCACCTCATACCGCCGCCTTCGTCCCACCAGATGCTGAACGCGAGAACCATGCCGCGGTCAAACGACTCGCCCATTTCTTGGTGCGCGCCGAGGTCCATGAACCGACGGGACCCCGTCGCCTCGCAGAACTCGTCGTTGAGGTAGTTGACCTGCGGCAGGTCCGGGTTGTTGACCACCTCGCTGCGGATCAAACGCCCGTCCTGGATGTACAGCCGGTGAATCTCGGTGAGAACGCCGGCCTCGTTGGCGGGGAACTGCGTGATCACGGTAAAGGGGCGCGTGGTATCTACCTTGAAGTCCGGGCCGCGGCCGTATGTTTCCGGGGTGTTGACCCGGTACGGGCTTTGTAAAGATTAGCTTGGTTCAGGAATGACGATGGAATGGAATAGCGCTTACTTCCAGGCACAGCCGTTCTTGTCGCAGACACCTTCAAAAGCACAGTCTTCGCCCTCGCAAAGGTATACTCCGGTCTGGTTGCAAGGGTGTGGTGCCAAATGTGCCGCCCGCGAGTTGGCCTCCCAAATATCCTAAAACGAGCTTGTTAGTGACTCTCGAGACAACCCAGCAGCTCAGGAAACCTACCATCTCATTGCAGCATGCCCCATAGCCCTCAATGTTGGCCTCGCCGTTGATGAACGGCGTGGTATAGCACTGCGCATCGCAGTATCCTGGAGACGGACAAGTATCAGTTCAGTCCGAGGCAACCCGGGAATAGCCTGATAATGTAAAGATCGACAAGACGCACCCGTTCCGTGAAAAGCGCCTCCCTTGTTGAGTGCGCTCTTTCCGCCATCAGCCTCCATCTCGGAGGTATACAGCGCGCTGTTCATACCGCACGGAAGCTTCGAAACATCCACATCGAAGGTGAACTCCTTGCCCGTCAAGTGCATCATCTCGTACCTCTCCTTGGAAGAATCAAGAAGATACACGCGTGGAGACACCTGAGCGCCGTTTCGAAGTTGGTACATGGTCATGGCACTACCATCGGTGGTGACGCCCACACGGCTGTAGTCATCGAGGCCCTCCTGGACGCAGTTCTCGGCGCAAGCCTCCTTCGTCGGACACGCCGTCGCGTTGGGCGGGTTGCCCCAGGAGCCGCAAGAAGCGCCGTTAGCTTCCTGGTAGACGTTGTGGGCGAGGGAGTCGAGGACGATGAAGTTATTGACCTCAGTGCAGCCGCCGGCCTTGGTGCAACGCCATGTCGTCAGGGCCGGATGATTTTCGGCCGGTCCGATCTGGCGCTGGGCCGCTGCAAAGCCAAGGAAGAGGGTGGCCAGGCCCAGGCGGGAGAATGCTGAGGCCATGGCGACTGGCTGATGATCAAGGTCCTTGAGGGGGCGGTCACAGATGCACCAGGGTGAGGAGAGACGATGGCGATGGCACCACAAGACGGGTAGGAGCAGTCAGACGAGTTCTTTAGGGGTCCGGTCTGTAATATAACCTCACGGATGGCCAGCTCCATCTCAATGTTGAGCTTGGGCTGCCGCATACCGGTCCCTTTTCGGTTCTCCGCTTCACGAACTATTCCTTGAGAATGTGGCCCAAAGGGCCGTCGTCGACGATACTATCATGCGCGTCCCTTGCTAGTCCTGAGCTCGCTTTTTCCCAATGAGACAAAGGAAGATCACGCTCCGAAGCACCCCGTCGGGCTGTCCAAGCCCTGTGCCATGATCGATAGCAAGGGTCTGGCAGATTGAGCTGTGAGGCCACCGGCCGCGCGAAGCTAACTATTAGACTGGAAGCGGGCACGCCAGCGGATAGAATTGAGCCAGAGTGCTGTCGCGCCCGCGCCTGGTCTCTTCATGGCCCTCACGGTAGAACGGGCCAGGAACCGCGCGTGGGCAGCGCTTGGCGCTCGGTTGAATGCAACTGAACCTCCCCTTGCGTCGCTACGCAGTCGAACCTGCATCGATACATCAGGAAGGCCGCTTGGTCGTCTCGTTAGCTTGCCGTATAGAGACCTGGTAATTAGCCGGTTCTAGTTCGCGACGTGAGTCACAATTGGACGCACGCTGCATCCAGACCGGCCCTCCAGTACTGGTTGTTCAACACATTGGGGGCGTTCGTGGGAGAAGCTGGGGATGTGGCAGAAAGCGGGGAAAGGCCAGAATTAAAGACGGCAAACTGTCGAGGTTCCCCAGTCCTCCGCATGAAGCTATTGCAGGGGTACATGACAGGGGTCGGTGATCCGATCCATGTGCCAAACTAGGAGCGGATGTAAGTGTGAGAAAGGAGAAGCCCCTCCGGCTGGGGACTATCAATGCACAGGTGTGCTTTTGGGGTACGAGATAAGGTCTAAATGAACCGAAAATAAATGTAACGCGCTCTGTATTGGCGTAAGAGAGAAACTTGGAAGTTATTGGAAGTGTGAGATAAGTCAAAACGATGAGAAACGTCCATTGTTAGTGTTTCTAAGGTTTGCCAGCTTATCACAGAATATCAAACCAAACCTGGCCACAGGGACGGGTACAATACTGGCCAACTCGGGTCTGCCACACCTTAGACTCGCCGAGGAAGCTGGCCATCGGAGAAACTACCGCTCATCTCCGTTGAATTCTTCCTTCCTGTTCTCGCTTTCGATCATGGAACAATATTTCTATTGTTCCGCCTTTGCCCGGCCCGACACACACTATCCACGAGCGCTTGGCTCTAGTCAAATCCTACGAGGAAAGCAAACTAGCCGGACTCTGCCCCCATGCGACGTCTGTCAGATCACATGAACCGGTGGCCTTTCATATATCGCTGCAAGGCACACTGCTGGTCTCCACACGGAAACTCCCTGTTTTTACGTTGAATCTATTAGCACGTGGTGTCGCTTACGGGAACCGGTTCCGGTGGTCACTCTGCCCCAAGATGAGTAGTTTGTGGACTTCGGATGTCTCGCCGTGGCTAGCATCCGATTCGCGTGGCTCGTAGACGATGGTAAGACGGTTGGGTTGTCCCCCCCGCACTTATCTATGATGTGTTTATGCTATTAATCTCTCCTTACTATGCAACATAGAAGACAGGGAACTTAACGTACATTGTTGGTCTTTAAGCGTACTGACGCAACAATCTCCTTTTTTTTTTTTTTTTTTTTTTTTTGCATGATAGAGTTCGAGACCAACTAATTAAGCTGGTTTTAGACATGGACTTTGAGTAGCTGTGTACTCCTTTGAGTGGGTGCTGCATTCTTTCCCTTTTTCTCTTCCTTGGCTTTTCTATTCTTGTTTTTTTTTCGTGCCCTTTACTAGCTTTTGCCGGGCGCGCTCCCGCTTCTTCACTCACTCCTATGCAACACACCGAGGTGGAGAGTTTTACATGATATCGGAGTTCATGGCGAAGAATCAACGGTTCAATCATAGCTGTTTGTGCATAAAAGATAGTTCGGGTTTGGTAAATCAATTTTATGCAGAGATAGAGTAACGTGGAAAAACAAGTGTCCGAAGACGTTGTACTTGCGCGAACCAAAACATGTGCTGGAGAACAGGCTCGGAAGCACACGCCTGTGGCGGACGAAGCCTCCTTAAACGGCTTCATTCTCTGGCTACTCCCATGAAACAACTAAGCAAGGTTGACGAAGACCACAGTATGAATCCTCATCCGTCATCATGTGATGCATATCAGCTAGGCGACTAGCAGCACGCATTCATGTCTCATGAGCAATCATTGCCAGTTGTCCTTGATGACATCCACAATGACACCGTGGTCCTCGTCCTGCTTCAGCCCACTCACAACCACAACAGCGACCACACCCTCAACTCCCTTAACACGGATCGGCACGCCGCCGCCGTGGATCGCGTACTTGCCAGCCTGCTCCGTGCTCATACCGAACTTTGATGCGAAAAGCTGCTCGTCGCCGCCCAGCTTGTTGTGGAGCAGCCATGTGCTGCAGCCCCATCGCAGCACGCTGTTGCGCTTGCGCTGCACCCAAGTCTCGTTGTCGGGGAGAGTGCCGGGACCGACGGCCGTCTGGAAAAGAACCTGTTGGTTGTTGGCCAGAGCGATAGAAATCACTGTGGGTTTGCCGTTTTTCAGGGCAAAAGGGAGGAGACGGGCGTGCAGGAGGTGGCCGAGTTCAAAAGCGTCTTCGTATGTGAATGATGAAAGGGTGAAGGAGTCGCCATCCTCCTTGAGAGCTTCAACCTGTAATTTGTCAGAGACCATAGCAGCACATCGTTCATTATATCATATAAATACTCACATCGCGGGACGGAGATGGAATGTTGACCGGAGCGGTATCGGGGCTGCGAACAGCCTCTAGGGACTTCTCCAAGCCGAAGCCTGCGGGGTTACGGCGGGACCAGACTTTTGGGGACATGTTTGGCCGTGGCGACAGTGGTCTCAAGCTGTCCAAATATGAGTTAAATGTTGATTTATTTAGGTTTCCTGGCAGATCTTCTGGCGAGCGACTGGCGAGTGAGCCACTTGATGATAAACTGTCGTCGTTGAGCTAAAATTGAGGTCCTTGTTAGTTAATCATTCAATTAGCTGCGGCGGCAGCGCTCTTAAATCCTCAGCAAATGGACAAAACCCCCATCCGACTCCCATATTCCCAAAATTGTGGTTCCTCACAGCCCACTTGGCGTTTCTTTGACTCTTACAACTACCCCATCGGGAAAGGAGAGTTAGACGTACGGAGTCTGGAATCTCCTCCTGTTGCATAATAGGCTGCACGACTGGTTGAGTGACGGATGCCGTCACGCTCCTTGGGGTGCTGCCGATGGTGCTTGCCCGACCCGTGCTACTTTGTTTCCTAGGCGTCTTTGCGTAGCGATAGAGTCCCCATTCCCTCATTCTGCGCTGGAAGGTCTTGCTGTTTACTTCGATGCCTTTGGCGGCGAGGCCCTTGATCATGCTCTCGACGGTCTCGCGCCGGTTGAACGCCTCGATTATCCCCTCTCTGTAGGGCTCCAAGTCCAGACGGGGACGGCCGGGGGGCATTCTTTGGCTAAGCGACGAGCGTTCCTTCTACGATATGAACTTCTCGGTCTTGAAAAGGAGGCGACATTTGCTGGACAATGATCGCTGCTCGACTAATCATCATCATTGCGAAGAAAGCGTGACGCGATCCGAATTGGAGACTGCACGCTTTGGCCACTTTCTGCGGGGATTTTGAGGGGTTTCAATCGGACAATTTTCTCGGCAATAGTCCGGAGCATACACCCCGCCCCAGTCTCCTGCTCCTGGAGGGCAATGAGGGTTGGTACGATATTGGGAGGCTACTCACTTTTAGATGTCGCCTGACAATTAGACTCATCTATTCTTCCGAGCAGTTACTTTACGCCAACTTTAAAGTCAACAAGAAAGAGTATGAATTTACGAACTAGTGCGTGCCATCTGCGTCATCTCATCGAGCTCCTTGGGACGCTGTGCTGATTATTGACCAAGTCAACAAGGCGATAGTCATCCAACAATATTGGTTGAAGGACTATCTCTTCATTCGTACTGCAATTCGAAATGATGTCATAAGCTTTATATATTTTCAAAGGCTCTGCTCTACTTTTCAAAAAGACAGTACAGACAATTTGTTGAGTAAGACGCTCAAAGTTTTTAACGCTAGATGAAGTTCGAAATGAGAACATATACCTAGCCTTCGAGGACTGCAAAGACTCAAAGATTATCCAGCTCTCTCCTTTAGGTCAACTGAACTGGTGCACTAAACGCATGGGATCCACTGTGTCTTGTACGACACCTTCACATTGCACCATAACTGAAACATATTGAGCCGCCCGCCTAGGAGTCAACCTTGATGATGGTTGATGCGAAAAGATTAGTGGCACTTGGTATGACTTGGCCTTACCAATATTACCACGCAATCATACTGTGTTTACCGAGGAGCGAATTAATAACAGACATCCCCTGAAGATGCGACGCTGATCGCTTAGCAGTGAATAGCCTCGGATTTGGTAACTATGTACCATGTGGAGCCTTCCAGAGTCGGTCTATCGTCTGGCGTAGGAGTTTGAACATGGAATGATTCAGCTACGACGTTGGTATGACTGATAGAATGAAATGCGTGTGTTTGGAAGAGCTATTGCTGTCAAGCCAGTCTAGAGACGATCTTGACGACATAATCTCCTAATTTTCTCAATTTTATGGTTACTGTCTTCAGTTCAGACGTGTCTCCTTCAATTCGATAGCTTTCTGCCCGAGTTCTCTCTTTATCACGTCTGTGTCCTTGTTGTTAATTTCACTTGGGATGCTCATAGCAGGAGAGTAAGAGTTAGACGCATCAATGCGATGATGGATTACGAAACACATACAATCAGTCACAACCGCCCAATTCCAGCCAAGCACACATACACGTACATGCAGACAACATCAGCGGTATGTTTAGAAGGAGAAAAAGAACCGAAAACCCTCTTTGAGTGCATGTTCTAAGCCTTGTACTTCTCAGTCATCGCCATAGCCACAAAGTTGAGTCTGAAACCCGGCGTGAGTAAGTGACAATTGAGTTATGATGACAAGCTTTCGTCCGAGACTTGGTTTGGATCATCCCAGTTCAGGCTAGGGGTGACGACCGGATGAAGCATTGCAGTTTGTTGGCCTGTGTCGAATTCAGCTCAGGGATTAACGGGGTTACTGAGAGCCACTCAGGTGCCGTCCCGGCGAAACGCCACTCCGCATCTTCAGTGCCGTTCCGGCTCGGGAGAGCACAACTCAGCGAGTCCTATCGGACAACGGCCGGTTGGCCCAATGGCAAGGCGTCTGACTACGATCAAGTATAGCATCAGGAGATTCTGGGTTCGACCCCCAGGCTGGTCAAACTAAACTTTTGCATCCTGGGAAGGGTGGATGGGGAAAAAGGGCTCAACGGGCTTAACGGGCTGGGTGTTTAGGGCACAATCTCTTTTTCGGAAACCCAAGAAAGACCCCACATGTCTGTCTTGTCGTTGTGGGCCTAAGCACGGTTCGTTGGCTGTTTGATGGGCGAAAAGCTTGCGTTCACGGGTATATATAATGTCAACCGGTGGGAGTGCGTAAAAGATGTGGTGAACATCAGACGCGCCAGAAGCTTGAACGGTGTTGAGAATCAAGTCTGGTGTCGGTCCTACGCGTCCAAACCGTCCTACATCACGCGTGTCCGATCAATTCGAGCCATTGACCGCATTTTGATAACAATTCGAGAGCGAGAACGAGCACATTTCCATCATGTTAACAATCTGGGGAATAACGCCTTAAAGTCAAGGGATGCTCGTATCTTGTCGGCAGCACCGCTCCGCGTCGGCGACCGGTGGGCGCCGGTGGTGCTGGGGGACCCCAGTCGGTAGTGTCGGCTTGTGGGCGAGGTCTTTTGACTGTCAACCTGTCCGGGGCTTAACGTTCCGGGATCGCAACCAGGGGCTCTTGTGGCTTTGGCAAGTCTGTTCACTACTCGTGTAGGTATGCACGAGGTAACAAGTGAGGCTTTCACAATCTGTATGAACGAGGCACAACGGTGCACTACAATCTAGGCAAGACGATCGGCAACCAACGCATAAAGTAAAATCAAACTCTAATAACCGGCAAGTGGAACCACTCACAGCTCTGTCCCTTGGCGGCACCCAATCTCGCGATGCCTGACTCGTATTTCGACCAGGATGAAGGTTTCAACCGGGACTCGGGTCTCATGGTGCCCCCCCACACAATCTCGAATTCCCCTGGTCAGAGACCACACCAAAGTGATCACGACACACGTCAACGGTGCTGCGGACATGCCAGGTTGCTCCCTCCCTCCGACGACTGGGTCAAAGATGCCCCTAATCCCGCAGTGGTCGAGTCTCCGGGTCTTGCTGCCCCCTTTGGGTCCTAAGCTCCTTGGGGGAACTGGAGTTCAAGGATGTTTATCAATACCAAGTGAACCGTGCCATCTCGTTCTCCAGCAGAGCGCGCACCCGTAGGAAATTGCTTCCTTTCGTTGCAGTCTATTCCTCCGTCCCCTCCACAGCTCCCTAAAACTCTTCCTCGTCCAAAATCGACTGCCTCTCGAACCCCGAATACCGCTCGATTGTAATCTTTGAACGTGTAAGCGGCAATCCAAAGGAAATCAATGTTGAGAAGGGTATTAGGCAAGGCGTCGACCCGCTAGAGGAACCGAATACACCGATTCCCGACGCGATCGTGCGTCGACCGACGAACCGTTGAAAATGTCGCCGAGACCTCGACATCGAATCATCTCAACCTCATCACTCCTCATCTCATACCTCGCGTCGCAGTCTCGGGCAGCCTTCGTCAACGACTTCTCTGCATACCCGATAAACTCAAGATCATGTTTGGACACGGCAGCGGCCGCGTCCGGCTGCACCGGTAACACGGTCACGGAGATGAACACATGCCTCTGCGGAAATGGGGGCAACTTCGTGCTGGCGACAGCGAAGTGCGTCGAGAAGCAAGCCAAGGACGAACTCGATAGTGTGTATGAGATGCTGCTGACCTCCTGTACGGACTCGAAAACTCCATTGGGCGTTTCTCAAGCGCAGTTCCTTGACCCCGAAGACGATGACGACCAATCAGCAACATCCTCGGTTAGGAGCAGCACAACGTTTGCTACATCAATCACGACGCCGCCGACTATAGCAACATCAGCGCAAGCATCAGCAACAACAACGTCAACGTCTCTGACGACGTACAAGAGCGTGGCGCCAGGCGGAGTAACAGTCACAGTAACAAGGGGAGTCGAGGTGGTTCCGACCGGGACGGACAGCGGGAAGCAGAGCAGCAACGACGAGAACTCGGATTCCAATGAAGACGGCCCTAGCCATTCGGCTCTAGCAGCAGGAATCGTCGGAGGATTGGCTGTTGTCATTGCAGCGCTTGCGTTCCTCTGTTATCGTCGACGAAAGCAGCGCAAGGAACGACAGGGGCAGGTCGGAACGGGTGGAAAGTTTGCGGCGTTATCCAGTGCGACAAGTCTCACGACAATGACAGCCTCACCGCATCAGGACCAGGCGGCGACAGCATACAGTGGTGCGAACGGTCTAAGACCTGACACGGCAAATACGGTGCAGATGGCAGCAGGTACTACTGCATGGGGCTACCAACAGCAACAGCAACATGGACAACAAAGTCCTCAGTATTGGCAGAACAACTCCCCGAACCAGTACGACCAAGCCGCAGGAGCTTGGCCATCGCCAGTAGCCAACGCGGACGGAACTACGGGAACATGGGGAGTTTCGCCTGTCTCTCAATTTCCCACGAACGCGTCAAGAGGACACGAGTCACCTCCGTTGCAAAACGCAAGTTGGAACGCACATGCGGTTCCTGCGGGTGTTCCCGCTCCTCACCCTTCGCATCCATCGAACAACACATATACTCCCGTCTTCGAACTCCCCGGAGACGAAACCCAAGCCGTCGAGGCGGACTCAACGCCCGTCGGCCATGCACAACCAGTGCAGCCGCCCTCACGATCGATTCAATCCACACCGGCACACTTGTCTCTGCAGCCGACACAACTGGAACCCACCCATCACGGAATGCCCAGGCAGATCGACGATGCACTGCAAATATCGCGGGTAGAATTACCGCCGCCAAGGTACTCGGGGCCTTCATCAGGATCCGAATGGGTCAGCGAAGACAAGAAATTCGGCTAGATAACGGAGGTCCCTTGGCGAAACAGCTCTTCAGCATAATGATATTCTATAAATTTTGTAATATTACCTACCTAACTGTAGACGTTCTGGGCATCACTGCCAACATGTTGCATAAGACTTCATGTTTTGCTCAAGATCAGCGATATCTCACATTATCTTCTCATACCTCAACATTGTTATCACCGGTCTTCATGTGGATTGTTGAAAAATGACCTAAAATATCCGGAGCTTTGAAATTATGGGATAATTGGTGTTGACCGCACGGCTTCACATTTCAATCCGACAGAATGCAAAAACAAAATGAATGTCCCTAGCAAGGCTCGAACTTGCGACCTTTGGATATCCCGAGCTTGTAGCCGGGTCATATTGATGAGTAATATGAGACCAACGCTCTACCGACTGAGCCATAGAGACTGTTTCTTGACATGCACGCTGCTAGCCAAATTTAAGAATGCCAAACACAAGACACCGCACTTGAGCGCTCCCAAACCTACTCCTCGTCGACTGTGATGAGCCTTCCTGTATTCTTTTTACTGTTTAATATGAAGTCCGCCTCGAATCGGAGCAGATACTTACTCTGAACACTCAGCATTAGCAGCCTCGGAACCGCCAAAGTCATGACGCAAGTCCACTAAATCGTAATGTGTCACACGCAGAGAATAACGGATTTTGAACCGTCACATTCCGTCACGAATCCTTTGCAGTGTATGAAATATCAGAAGATATTCTGCACAAACTTTGGGGTTTCAATTTAGTCAGAAAGCCTAGTAACTATTCTGACCCGAACCAGCCCTGCAGTGTGGTTAGACTTGTCATATGTGTGTCTTGCAAGAGCGGCTCATGCCTCCATAACACACACCCAGAAACAATCCAAAACCCTTGACTAGACCAGCAGAACCTCTTTTTATTAAGCAAGAGGCCTCTTGTCAGCCTTACCCAGCCACAGCAACATGCGGGTGTCGTGTTCCGAACGCGCGTCCCTACGACGCTAGCCAATAACTCTTGGGGCCTCTGGTCAGCCAACTCCTGCGGCTGAGCCGCGAGAACGGGGCGCAGGATGCCTGCCTAGCACGAATGCGGTGCCTCCCAACCACAGCTTGGCGTCTCCTGGTCATTTCATCATCCCACCGCGCGACCGGATGTCAGCGGGGTTGGGTACCCTTGTTTCCTCATTTAACCATAAATCATCGCAAACGAGCGGGCTTACTGCCGAGGGCATTAGCAAAACGTGGGGCTCATCCAAATAATCCATCGACAACTCCATTAACGTTCAGGGAAATCTGTTCCTTTTGACAATGGTGGGCTTCTCCTCCGCCGCGATAACGTCGAACTGTGACGACATCTCCCATCGAGCAGTCTCTACGTCAGCCGAGCTGGACAGCTTGCTCAAAGCCATTAATCCTGGGAGCATTGCAGCCCAGCATCTAATATCATTCTCAGCCAAGCTCGACCAGTTCAGAGACACTGCGGAACGACTCCGGAAGTATCTCGATGGCGCATCAGCTATCTCGCCTGGTCTGCGAAATGCCCTAGTCATCTCTGTGCAGCCTTGCGCAGACGCAGCGGCAGTCGTAGACAAGCAAATTCGCAGACTCGACCCGGGAAATGTGACGGGACTCAATGCCGACGTGATCTTACAATTTGAGAGCTATCATATGGCGAATACCCGTCTCTTCACACAGTACATTCAAGTGGTTCAGATGTGAGTTTGAAACGAGCTAATCTTATGTGTAAATAAGTTGCTGAAGCTATTGAGGCCCACGGTCGTTCAGCAGGACTCAAGGCTCTCGGCACCGGACGGACACCGATTGTTGGAAACGGCTGTGGAAACATCACAGATCGTCCTCACTCGCAGCGACATTCTTCAAGCCACGGAAGAACCCAGCAGCTTGGAAATTAGCAGCGCAGGAATCGCAGAAGAGTCGGAGGAAACTCCGACGGATGCACCACTACCAGACTATGCCTCAGACAAACCCAGCAAGGGCAAGAGCAAAGCAACCGGCCAATTCTTCTCGTCAATTTCGAGCTCTTTCAAGGCAATGACAGCCGGCTTACGAGCCAGGCCAGAGCCGATGGTAATCGCCATGTGCCAAGCTGCCAAGAGCGGTGACGTGGGACATCTCAAGGGCTTCGTCTCGCAAGGAGTCAACATCAATGGCCAGAACGACGAAGGGTATACACCGCTTATTTGTGCCATTCGTGCTAATCAAATCGAAGCTGTTGGTTTCCTCATCAAAGCTGGAGCCGATCGATCGAGCAAAGACTCTTTTAGCGGCAAGAAGAAGCCGCCTCTGTTTCACGCCGCAGAATGTGGCTTTGTGCCCATCGCCGAGTTGCTCATGAACAACGGGGCAGATATCAAGGAGCGTTCCTGGTCCGGACAGCCATTCTTCATCGAGGTTGCCAACAGTGACAAACTGGACATCATCAGGCTTTTCTTGGACCGGGGATGCGATGCTAACACTAGCGCTATCAGTGGACGCACTATTTTCATCCACGCTGTTCAGGCTGGGAGCCTTCCACACATGAAGCTTCTGCAGGAGTTCGGCGCCGACATGAACGCCCGTGACATCACTGGCCAACCAGCACTCCATATGGCTTTGGGGCAAAACCGCATGGACATCGTCTCTTTCCTCCTGGAGCATGGTGCGGACCCTAATGTGATGGATCTGACTGGCAGCACCATGATAATCTCCGCGTTGCACAAGAAGAAATACGAGCTCGTCAAAATGCTTCTAGTCAGGGGTGCCGATCCGAACACCACGGGCCTAATGGGCAAGGGTGTTCTCTGGACAATGTTGCAAAGCAAAGACATGGAGGATGCCATCAAGGTGGACCTTGTTCGCTCACTTCTCCAAAGAGGTGCGAACCCCAACGAGGTTGACAATTGGGGAGAATCCATCATGAGCCTGGTCATCACGCTGGGAAACACTGAGCTTCTTCGAACATTTCTTACGCACGGCGGGAACCCAAACAAGAAGATCAAGGACGATACGTTCCTTCTTTATGCCATCAACCAGGGAAGGCTTGAGGATGCGAAGCTCCTCTTGACACACGGCGCCGACGCAAATGCGGCTGATAACAAGGGCAGAACGCCCCTCATTGAGGCTCTGCAATCAGAAAACCATACTTTGGTGCAAACACTGCTTACTTTCGGCGCGGACGTCAACAAGATGGGGAATATTAAGCCACTTACGTTGGCACGCCTGGTCCAAAAGCCGGAACTCGTTCAGATGCTGACGGAACGAGGGGCTCAAGCTCCTATGCCCCCAAAGGTAGAACTTGCACCGCCTACACTGGTGAGTCCTGACCGGCCACAAATAGGTTCTAGACGGCAACGCTGGTCGGCATCGGGGAGGGCAGAGATGCCTCCACCATATACGGAAGCAAGCGTTCCTGATGGACTTACAACACCGGCAACCCCAGGTGGCGGGGGAAGTTAGTTTAGCGTGGTCTTTATACTCGTAAGAGGTGTCATTGGAAATGGTGACATGTATACCTCATTCCGGAAGTGCGAAATGTCTTGCTGCATACAATAGCTCTCAAGAGCTTTGTGCGATGGAGGTTGATTACTAGGGGTTCAAAGTAGCTTTAATATGATAGTCCAAATGTGGCCAATTCTCGGTAACGAAGCACGCAAAATGATTCCATTCACTCTGAAGCATTCGATAACTTCGCAGTCAAACACAAAGACATATGGCTGTATCAAAAATCTTCCGACTGGTTTAGATAACTCCCTCCAACTCCCTCAAAATCTAGATTCCTTACTGTAGCCGACCACACTAGGGAGTGAAGGTGCGGGCAATTTCGATAGGAATCGCCACTCACCAATATAACAAGCTCATCTAGCCGGTGGAGGGTTTGAGGCTCTGCGGTTTCCGTTAGGAAATTCTTCGGTTACAAACACAAACCAAACTAAGTTAGATGTTGACCCGTCGTTACCAACTCGAGATATATAGTTGAGGACTCCCGGGCTAGATTAAGAGACCCCCAAGAAGCATCATAGGTTAAAAGCACCTACCAAATAAAAACCTCTGACCTCATGGTGTCACAGTAATCGAATTGGTAAGCCAGTAAGTATACAATGTGGGATAGTTACGGAGCAAAATGAAACAATATCAATGTCGGTAACAGATTGATCGCTTTAGTGATTTCCAATCTCAACACCATCATCTGCGGCAGACTAATTAGTGCGGAAAGTCTGTCAAAAACGTAGACAAGACACCAAGGATTTGTAGTTCCGATCGATTAGTCCTTAGGTCACCGTCTAGCTGTGTAATCTCATATACTTGGTGGCCATGAGTCCCCAAAGCGGTCTTCATCCGATACCTAGCCCGGCAATGAAGCTTCCCAACGTCGCTGGGTCGATATCAGAGAGTTGTATACTCTGCAGAGCAATTGTCACGGTCGTTGCATCTGAGAGCATATGGAAGAACGGTGCTGTAAATTGTCGCATAAAGCACAGCCAGCTATAGGTCTGTGGTCTGGCCCCTGTGAAGTTTAAATTTTTGGAAGCTCCCTTACCATCCTGTTTCAACCCACCTACCGCCGCAATTGAGTTATTTGACTCGAGCGGATGCTGCGGTGAAACTTACCAACTCTTGCTCAACGAGGCGGGCCGCTGCCGCTCGGTTGTCTCAAGAACGGACCTGAGCTGCAATAGAGTTTGGAATCTTCCCTGAAACCTTCCAGGCCAGGTCGAGCATGGTTTTCATTCATAGATGCTACACAACCCCAATGTGACCAAACGAGGGTACTCTGCCCCCTGTTGTTGATTTCCCAGATTTCAGGACTTACGTGTCAATCGCCCGTCGTCTTTTGACAAAATTGCCTCAAACTCTAAAACTGCCCGCACCGAAGCTGCCGGAAGCCCAGTACGCACAGCTTGTAACATCGATATCGAGAACATACTTATCAACTGTAACGGCTACCATTCATCCGGCGGCTTCGAATTCTCATCTTTTATTTTCCAGATCGAGCTCGCAAGACTCTAATATGTGCGGAATTACGGCCATCATTAGTCTCCAAAGAGGGAGCCGCCTTAACGCGGTGAACGAACAATCCAGTCTCCCGAGTCAGAGGCAGAACAGCTCACAAAAGTACGTCGCTCTACATAAGCAACTAGTGGAGAGCCTAGCAACCATCGCTCACAGAGGCCCAGACGCCGAGGGCATCTGGATTAGTGAGGATGGGAGCATTGGTAAGCAAATTTTGAGGGGAGGCATCCATGTATCTGACATGTACATTTTTTAGGTCTAGGGCATCGACGTCTTGCCATTAACGATCTGACATCTGATGGTGTTCAGCCCATGCATAGCGATGACGAAAGCATCCACGCAGTTGTTAACGGTGAGGTTTATGATCACGACACCATCCGTGAACGCTGTATTCAGGATCATGGATATGAGTTCAAGGGCCACTGCGACAGTGAAGTATTACTTGCTCTCTACAAGATTCACGGGGCACCGGAATTTCTCAAGCATCTGCGGGGCGAATTCTCATTTGTCATATTTGATGAAAATGACGGGCGGGTAATTGTAGCAAGGGATCGCTTCGGGATCAAACCTATGTTCTGGACGATCACTGGTGACAAAGATGGCGCAGACAAGCACTTGCTTCTGACCTCAGAAATCAAAGGGCTTCTGCCGCTTGGCTGGAACCCTGAGTGGAACGTGCCAGGCCTCATCAGCGGTGCTTCTTTCCAAGCTGAGAACACGACGTTCAAAGACGTTTGGAAATTGAATCCTGGAACCTGGATGGAAGTCTCTCGAGACGGCGAAATTAGGCACCATCAATACTGGGACCCTCAGTATAAAGACAAGGTGTGTAAATGATGGCGGCCAAGATTCTTTACTTTGCTGATGTCAGGTAGCATGAGGTGGAGACGAGAACCACAGATGAGATCGTTCGAGAAGTCAGAGAACGGATGGTTGAAGCTGTGAGACTTCGACTTCGTGCTGACGTGCCAGTGGGGATCTACTTGTCGGGTGGTATTGATTCTTCGGTCATTGCTGGTATTGTGACCAAGCTTGTGAGGGAAGAGGGAGTCATGCTGGGTAACCAGGACGCCACGAAACGCATCTCTTGCTTCAGCATTCAATTTCCCGAAGGCTCAGGCTTCAATGAGGCGGGTATGTTCTTCCAGCACAAAGTTTTTGAGAGCTTCCTTTAGATTAGAGGTTCTACTATGTTAAAGCAACTAACCACCTACAATCTCAGATATTGCTGAGCGTACAGCAAACTGGCTCGGAGTACAAATTCTCAAGAAGGATATGAACGAAGAGGAATTAGCGAAAAATTTCGTCGATTGTGTTTACCACACTGAACACCACCATTTCGATCTCAACTCTGTAGGCAAATTCTGTCTCTCGACATTGCCCCGGCAATATGGAGTGCCGGTTGTCCTGACAGGAGAAGGCGCTGATGAACATTTCGCGGGATATCCATTCCTATTTCCAGACTTTCTTCTGGAGCCGGACTATGCATGGCCTAACTCTCCTCTAACCAAGAATAACAGCGTACGTCAGAGTATGCAGAAAGAGATGGCCGAAGACATCGGGAACATGTTCAAAACAGTTGGCATGTTTGATCACCAGTGGGAAAAGACATCCCCGTCATCAACGCAAATCGGCATAGCCGATAACGCTTTGAAGTGGCAACCGCACAGGGACATGTTCGCTTCTTGGGTTCAAGAAACTTATGGCCAAGTTGACATGAGAGCGGTTGTTGCCAAAGCGATGTCACCAGAAGTCCTCAGGAATATGCGGGAGAAGTGGCACACGTTACATTCATCATTGTACATCTACACTAGAGGTCAGCTTGCTAATATGGTCTTGACGTGTTTGGGCGACCGCACGGAAATGGCACATAGTATTGAAGCTCGGCCTCCCTTTCTGGACCATCACCTGGCGGAATATGTCAACAGTCTACCGCCTAGTCTTAAAATTGCATTCAATCAGGCAGAAGACCAGACAGACGGAACGGGAACGAGCATGTGGTGGAAGAACTTTAGTTCAGCCCGCCAAGCGCTGGTCGAGAAATGGATTCTCAGAGAGGCTGGCAAGCCTTTTATAACGCAGGAGCTTTATGATAGACGGAAACACCCTTACACAGCCCCTTTGAAGTGGCCTCAAGGAGGTCCTCTTCACCAACTTTTCACAAAGCTAGTGACTGAGTCGTCGGTGGCCAATTTGGGCTTTCTGGATTGGGAAAACGTGAAGATTTGGCTTGAAAAGGGGTTTGGCAACGATGCTGACCCCAATGCTTTTAGGAAGGTTGTGATTACTGGATCTTGGGTTGTTTTAAGTGAGGGGTTTCGGGTAAAGAAGGCTGTTCCAGGGGAAGCGTCGAAGTGTCCATAGGGCAAGGAGGATGTTAGAGAAATAGAAAGTTCCGAAAAGAGAGGATTGACATTTAGGTTTAGAAATGAGTATGTAGGTTTGAGTGCGGAAGTAGAACTAGGTGCAAATGCTTTGCGGTATTGATCCGGTTTCTAAAAGATGAAAGTTCCCATTTCTAGCGGAACTACCGGTTCTACGGGTTAAATGGAGAAAATGTGTGAATATGACACAATCAAAAGGTTCCGGCTATAGGTGACAGCAGTCGCAGTTGTGGTTACGAAGGAGCCTAGTCATGTTGCAATAGGGCACATATCATGATCCTCTTTTGGATATGGTCAACCCCGAAATAGGTAAACAATAACGTCATGCTTCGGCTATTTGAAAGTACAATACTCATGATATTGATACGTATAGTAAATACACTCAAGAGTATATAATTGCGATATTTTACAGGTAAATAGAGAGCCTGGTGCTAGCCCACTTCAAAAACTGGAGTGGAATCGAACACGAGTGGTAAGGACCGTCATGAAATGAAAACCTAGCCCATGCCTCACCCAAAATCATAGTCGCCAGAGCACTAGTTACCAATTTCGAAGTCGGCAGGCAGACGTCTCAGAGAAGGCTTGACGATGATCTGAGGCCCAGTTCGCTCGTTTACTCGAGATCAAACTCAGCGGCGACTTCGCGGCGGTAGTAAACTCCCTTGTTGCCCTTGTCATCGTTCTTCTTGTCATCGTTCTTCTTGCCACCGTTCTTCTTGTCGTCATCGGAGTCGGAGCAGTTGCCCTTACTGTTACGCTTGCACTGCTTGTTTTTCTTCTTCTTATCATCGTCTGAGTCAGAGCAATTGCCCTTGCTGTTGCGCTTGCACTTCTTCTTGTTCTTTTTGTCGTTGTCGGAGTCGGAATCGGAGCAGTTGCCCTTCTGGTTGGTCCGCTTACACTTCTTCTTGCTATTGCGCTGCTCGAGAGCATTGACCGAACTGGTAAAACCCTAGAGAAAATTTGTTTAGCTTAAAACCGACTTGCTGTCACTTAGATATGGAACTCACCGAAATGCCCTCGCCACGGGTCTGTTGGGGAAAATGTCAGCCGTAATTCTCAAAAATTACCAACAACTTAAGATTAATAAGTAAATAGAAGATGAGCTTACGGCAAGGTCAGCAGATCGCTGTAAGATATCAATTAGCTGGTGTATTTCTGGGTGCTTGGAATCTAGTTACTTGCCTCGACGAGGTCGGCCTCGAGAGGCTCAGCGATGGGGACAGCCAGAGCAGCAACAGCGAAGAAAGCCATGCCGATGGTGGCAACTTGACCGAAGGTAGGGATGTGCATTTTGATAGTTGGGGTTCGGATTATGTTTGTCTTAGGAAGGTGTGGAGAAAGATGAATATAGAGCGAGTGATGGTAGAGTGGGATTGTGATGTTAGAGTAAGAGTGATGATGAAAGGAGAAGAAAGCTCGAAGAGAGAAGAATAGTGATTATTTATACCGAAACCCAGCCTTCATGACTGAGCCTTCCAATGCATGGCATGCTTCCCCTCAAACAATGAAGAATTACAGATGTGCATCTGGACGAGTCCAACTCGAGCTTAGATACCCATGCAGTGGTGTAGATTGAAGCGCCTAGACCGAGCTAATGGTTATTCACGCTCTTCAACTCAGCTTGCTCACTAGTTAAGGCTCGAGGGCGAGCTTGGCGGTGGGCTGCGATCTGATAGCTGGGAGCCCGAGTCACTCAATTAGTGGAATCTGAACTTTTGGTACGGAGACTTGACGCTAAATGCAGCCACCTCACAGACATATACGAAAGCATGTCCATTCTGTGGATTCAACTAGACGCCAAAAGCCAAGATAGACAAGAAGTACAGTTCCGGATGGCGGCCTCGGCAATGCTTGGGATGACCCAAGCAATGCGCTCGTCCGACATGCACCAAGATCACCATTTTATTCTCAGCAGTGCAATACTTCGTGATGGAAACAGGAAATGAAAACACAGGACAGCTATTTAACTGGTCTTCCAGGGATATGGATGGATTTCACGTGAGTTTCGTTTGGCCGTTTGGGACTGTAGAGCGAATGCTTTTGCACATGATGACCATTATGCCTTTCGCATCCCGACTAGTTTGCCAGATCTTTTTATCTTGAAAACGTTGTATATCTCACTACTGCAGCCAAGCACAGTAAGACGGGGAGTAGACCCGAAATACCGGAACACCTTTCCCACTGGAGCCAAGTGTTTACCTATTAGAAGACCTCGGACCTTATGAGCCCCATCCGAGGACTAAGTCTACTGGGTCTTAGCACCCTGTGCTGAGCGCTGCAAGCAGAAGCAGACTCAGGGGGCACACCTGAATAATGCGGGGTGGCGTCAAATTCAACGTTCCCGGCGCTTTCCCTACTGAGCAAGTTTGCTAGTTGGGACCCGGTGTGGCGCCGCTAACGGGACTCTCGCCCAGATTGTTTCACCAACAGGATAGGGCCGGAACAAACAACGCTGTTTTTTCAGAGCTTGGGAAATGAAGCACGGGCAGCATAGGAAGTTTAAGATTAATCTACAGTTAACCTTAAAGACTAGTGGCTTCTCGTGTTCGTGGCCAAGTGGACTTGGCATACGTCAAGTACTTCACAGAAAGGGGTCGTGCAGTATAAACATCCGAACGATATCGATATGGCCCAGACATGATATTCTAGAACGCCTCTCTGCAGGTCGTATTAACCCTATGGATGAACGCTCAATTTCCTGAGATTTCTAGGTTCAACGTGGTCCGTCCAGCTTTGAAACTGAACTGGTTCAACAATTTCATAACCATCATGTCGCATGTATGTTACTACGTCTTCTGAATTATCAAACCCACAACTCTTCGATGATACTGTCGAATCACTTAGCTCTCATTCTGGTCCGAGGGCTGATCTACATGGTAATTTATTCTGTGGACATCAAGGAGTCAAGATGTGCACCGAGGTCAGTGAAGCCATGACCAACCGGTAAGCGCAAAGGCACCGCCAAGGCTAGCCAACTACGAAGCCAAGGAGACATTGCATATCTGTGATTAAATCTATTGAGATTTTCTGGTTTCTCAACATCTCCCAAAAAGATTAAAACCGAGTAAGTAGCCCTTTGTGCATCGTTTTTCTTATTCATTCTAGTACCAAGCCCAAATTCCTTGCATTGTGTTCCTCAAGTCCTTTCAAGATTCAACAATATTGTTTCGATCACTGAAAGATGATCAGTAAGGTGCATGGAAAAGATTGCAGGCCTAGATTTGAGGGAGAACTTACGGCAACTCAAAATTCGGCAGGAACCAGACTAGAATAACACCAGGGGCCGATGCTCCGACAGCAGTGTAAACCATGTACTTCATCACATCGGTAAACTGTTCAATTATAGGATTAGTGATCGAAATCTGCTGTTGTTGGAAGGCATAATATACCGCGTGGTTGATGGCAGTTCGCTGTGGAGTGCCCCATGCAGGGACTGTTCCAACAATTGAGTCAAACAAGGAGTTGACTAGTTGAGATGAGGTCCCAGCTCCGAGGTATTGATATAACGCTGGCTTGAATGTGTTCGTATAGATGGCACCAGAAATACAGCCACCGATGCTGCTTCCAATGACTGAGAAGCAGATTACAAGAGCGGTAATCTGAGGCATCTCACGATGCGGCACGACGACTTGTGCAGGTACAAGAACTGACAACTGCATGAATCCAGATCCCATGCCTTGAATTAATTGCACGATGAAGAGCTCCGCGACAGAGTTATCGGCGCCTCGCAACCGAAGCATGACACCGTAACCGATGAGGCGGATGACTGCTCCTGAAACGAGCAGCCACTTGTACCGACGCGTGTATGCCATGGCAAGTCCGGCGATGATCCCTGTCACACACTGCATAACGCCATGGGTATACTGGAAGAACGTTGCGTCTCGAGCGGTGAAGTTGCGCGCTACGGTTGCCCAAGAGTAGAGATACGTATGTGTGCAGGAAAAGCCGATTGAGTCGCTGGCAACGAGAAAAAGGCAAAGAGCAATGGTTTTGTTGCGGAAGTAGCGCGGCGGCATGATTGGGTACTTTGCCGCAAACCTCTCATATACTGATAATGCTGCAAGAACAAGAACTCCTATAACGATGAGGACGATGATATATGGAGTCTCCCATTTGCTGGGGCTGCTTGCTGCTAGAGTCAGGGGTATTAGAACCATTGCAAAGCCTGCGCATAAAAGGGCAGAGCCGCCCAAGTCGATTTGTGAGCAGAAACTGTAAAGTGTTGTCTTCTGTCTTGGTATGAGGCACAATTTCTTTGCCTTTCTCTGATAGTATAGTAATGTTGAGACGATGAATGCTGAGCCGAAGGGCATTAGGATAGCGAACATACCAATGCCCCATCGCCAGCCAATACCGCCAGGCTTGACAACGTCATCTATTATGAAACCCGCGGCCCAGGGCGTTATTAGAAATGGGAAGAAGAGAAAGCTTATGGCGAAGCCACGCCAACGGGCGGTGGTGATATCGGCGACAACGATATCATTCAGGATATTAGTGCCCGACTGGCCGACGACATAGAAAATTGCCCCCGCCGCGTATGTACTGAAAGTTTTGGACGATGCCATGAGAATGTACCCCAAGATATAGGATGAAATCGCTATGATGTATGTCTCACCCCGCCCAACGACGTTGGACAACTTGGCGATTGGCGGCTTGATGACTGCAAAGACAATTCCTGTGGCGGTGGAGAGTGTTGCCAGTTTGGAGAGTGCCGAGAAAGATGACGTCGCATAATTGTTATAGATGTAGACAGTAGTATTATCAATCTCACTGTTCACATGATCAGCAGTGGATTAATCGAATATTTGGCAGCGTACTTACTAGATGATCATGACCAGGGCCAGGCTTCAATCACAGTTAGCATCCGACTCCTACAGATATTTCAGGCCGGTTGATCTTGATATTTACCACTTACCCAATTATCACCAGCCATCTGCCTTTCCTGCCCCATAATGTTTGTACTGCCTCAATCGTATCGACACCAGAATCGACTAATTCAGTGTCAGTAGGCTTTTTGAAGTCACAATTGTCATCATTGGCGCGATCATCCCTATTATCGCCCAATTCTACGTCCGCTGGACCTCTGGACATTGCAACATCGTCGTGGTTGGTTCCTTTCGAAGTGGGCGAAGTGGGAGCCTTGGTATAAAAACGACTCTGCAATGACGAAAGAACCCCCATTGTATGTTTCTGTTCCTCGTTCGTTGTCGCCGTCGTCGTCGTCTTCTTCTTCTTCAGAAGACCGGTACGTTCATCACTGTTATACTCAGATGAACGAGCAGGTGACCTGCACATGATTGACTAGGAGACGCGGCTACTTTAATCAGTTTTGAGTCATGCCCACGCATCGGCAACACAATCAGTCGGCTAAAGTTATCGCTTGAGACGGCTCCCGCGCAGTAAGTTTGTCGCGCTGCAGCATATCACAGTTCGGAAGTAAAGGTGTAGCCGACGGCAAGGATCTATAGAGTGGAAAATATCCAGACGGATGGCGCAATGAGGGATCGACGTCCCGCCGTCGCTATCTTCCGCTTGCTTGAGAGCCCGCGCGGGGTCACGAGCAGGGAGAGGAGCCTATCACGTCGTCGACATTGTCAGCTTCCTGCATTGCCAAAGGTCGTGTGATAGCGTTCGCCGATAACATTCCAGACTTTTGATGGCGGAAGCTATCTGTGCCTCGTCCGATCTTCGGTAGGATCAACTTTATGTAATCTTTCAACGACTAACAGCCCCATGTGCGGGCGTTTCCAAAGGATTTGAGGATCCAGTCAATGAAGACAACGAAAGAGTCCCAGTGGTGATAGTTACGATAAGGTCCCGAACGTACGGGATGGATCATGGATGAGAGTGCTCCACAATGGCCGGACTGACCCACGAAAGCAAGACGTTCTCCGACACCAGTGGCGGCCGGAGTCACGCTTCTTATGGGGCAGACCGGCCCGTTGCGATGAGCCTTTTCGGTCAATGGCAGGTTCAAACAGACAAGCTAGGTCCTGGCATCATTCTCCTTGGGTTGCAGCATCCAGTTTTGAAATGACTCGATCGTGTATTACCGAGCGCCTGAACGTGAGGTGGGTACGGTAAACGTGTCCAAATGGGATGCACAGGAACGGACGCAAGGGCTTGCGCCCTTCGAACTCTCTTCTCCCAGCAGCACTGATAATCAGATGAAAAAGATAATGCAACAGTATTGGGGTTCCAGCACCCCTTATCTCCCGACAGCTTATACGAGTTAGGCCGGAGCCAAGAAGGACGAAGGATGCGCTAAACCTTATCAAGTCAGCATGTTCCAGGCTTCTTAAAATGTTTCTGGCCATGAGTCGGCGATCCGGAACGTAGCAACCCCCCTTGGATTGAATCAGCAGGTCTAAAATGTGTACGGCTGGTTTGAGCTGCTTAAAATTTTCCTCTTCCCTTCCTATTCTCGTTAGGACCAAAAAAATCACTAAATATCTCGTTTGCGAAGTCAACATGGACAGCAAGAAGCCCCCGGTGTTTTCGGAGCTCAGAGAGGCCAACGGGCCGAGAGCTAAGGGCAAAGCTGCTGTCACCGCCGTTTTGTCGGTGCTTGCGCTGACGGCGCTTATCAGAGGAAACTTACTATCTACACCATGGTCTCTATTCGGACACAGAAGTGTTCCCGAACAGCGTCTTTCCACTACTTGGAGCTGGTCAAGCGTATGGAGACGTAACTCCGGAAGAACATTATCAATATTAGATGCTGACAAGAGTTGCAGATTAAACCAAGTAGAACCCTGAAGTGGCACAGCTGCTTCGAAGACGGGGATTACGATTGTGCCAGATTAGATGCTAGCGCCCAGAAAGCCCACTCCCACAAGCCAAATGGCTAACGGCTTTCTCACAGGTGCCTATGGACTGGCAACAACCATCGAACGACCGCCGAGTTGTCCTTGCAATCACTAGAATCCGTGCAACCGATACGTCCGATTACAGAGGACCGGTCATTTTCAACCCCGGTGTAAGCGGCAGCGTAAATATGGACTATCATTTTAATACTAATATGTAATGGTAGGGCCCTGGTGGTTCTGGGGTCTGGTCTCTCAAGGATCATGGTAAAATGCTACATGAGATTGTCGGCACAAACCATGTATGTCCCCTGATAAGCACCATGCCGGAGCTGAAGCGTTCCGAATTCTGATGCAACATAGGATCTCATCAGTTTTGACCCACGGGGTGGTAAGTCAATGGGCATTCACTACCTCAGATTTTACTTACTTAACTTACGTGCTGGGCAGTCGGTGCATCCATACCGAGGCTAGAATGCTGGATCTCACCGCAACAGGGTCAAAGCTGGGCCTTGCAAGACCCGGGCATCTTGGACTCTCATGAAGGTATGCTCGGGGAACTTTTTACCAGGGCTGCCGCGTACTCGCAAGCCTGTGAAAGCGCCATGAAATCGTCCGGTATCCTAGAACATATAGGCACAGCTCCCGCTGCCAGAGACATGCTTGAGATCGTTCATCAGACAGGCTACGACAAACTCAAGTACTGGGGCTTCAGCTATGGCACTATCCTTGGCGGCGTATTTGCAGCCATGTATCCCGACAAAGTGGAGCGTTTGGTCAGCGATGGCAATGTCGACTACAGAGAATGGTTCAATTCGGCTCACGTTAACTACGTCCGCGATACAGACAAGGTTCTTTTCGCATTCTACGACTTCTGTTACCAGGCCGGTCCTGACAAATGCCTGTTTCATGCTCCAACATCAGATGCCATTATGGAAAGATTTAGCAGGTTACTCTCCACGCTGAAGACAAACCCTGTCCTCGTCTCGATAGACGAAGAAAATGGCCCCGAAGTCCCAATGTTGGTGACTTACTCCAAGGTGATGCGTCTTCTCTCATCCACGCTGTATCAGCCACAATACCAATTCGAGAGCTTTTCCAAAATTATTGCAGCTCTGGAGGAGAAAGACGGACGACCATTTTACGAGCATTACCATTTGAACAAGCCAGATCCAGCCCCGATCTGCTCATCGCAACCAATCTCACCTTTAGAGCCCTTGCCTGAAATTACTGAGGGCACAGAAGATGCTTTCCCGGTCATCATGTGTGCTGACCACCCGGCCGTGCATAATCTGACTCTCGAAGATGTACAGCGCGAAGCAGACAGCATCTTAGACCTCAGTCCTGCCACTGGGGCAATTAACGTACCTTATCAAATGACATGCAACCAGCGAACGACGCGGCCCCGCTGGCGATTTGACGGTAAATTATAGCATTCGTACGAAAAGTATCATGTAAAGGTTTTACTAACTCAGTTTCAGGACCTTTTGAGGGCAAGACAAGCCACCCCATACTGTTTATCGCTAACCTGGCGGACAACGTCACACCGCTCGTCAGCGCACGTAACAACTCTGCTGGCTTCCCCGGGTCAGTCGTGTTGGTGCAGAATTCATATGGAGTAAGTCGATTTGAATGATTGCAGAAACTCTAATCCCAAAACTGTCGTTAATGGAGGCTAACACATCTGTTTTGAAGCATACATCACTTGCGGCGCCTTCCAAGTGCACCAGACATTATGTCAATGCGTACTTTCAGAATGGCTCGCTACCGGAGATTGGAACAGAGTGCGAAGGTGATTCACAGCCCTTTGGTCCGAAAGTCGGGAATGAAGTCCGTCTTTACCAGCACCCATTCCTGCTGTAACTCAGGATGATTCGCTTGTGTTTGATTAACAACATCAGAGAGTCTGCTTAAAAATAGAACGTAAATACATTCACGTGGATCCGCATCTAAGTTTAAGACGTGTGTAGATGTTCACCATAAAAGTGTCAAAAAGTTTGGTTGTTCAGAGCACGAGTGTAGTTGACAACAGATGCATACAAGTTTGGGTAGCCAAACGTATGTAATCTACTCGATGATTTAGGTGATCGCTCGCCGATACTCCGAATTGATCTCTACCGATGCCCTACTTTCTATCTGTTCCATTCATTCCGGCAGGAAGTTCATATACCAGATAGTCATTTGGAGCTTCATGCCTGAGCGCAGTGGACTCGGTGTGAGAATCCACCTCTTATGGCAGCGGCGCTCCCACCTCAGCAGGTAGTGTAGGTGAATCGAGCTCACTGATCGGTGTACGTCCATCTAGCTCAGTGGCATTGTCTGCTGTCGACATCTTCTGCTCTATTCTGTGATCCATCTGATCTCCATTCGCCTCCATCAAACTTGTCTGGCCGGAAACCTTGGTTCTCTTGCTACCGCCTCTCTTCTTACTGAACCATATAAGCGCCTTGTCCACGGCAGCTGAGGGCGCGTTAGGGTCTTTCTTGCTCTTTCTGCGGCGGCGCCAAAACCAGAGCCCAGCGAATGCACCGATTACTGCCGCGACGACGACACCCGCCTTGCCCCCATCTGATGGACCTGTATTTTCGGTCTCAGTCTCAGAGCTGCGTATCACAGACACTGGCTCCCAAAAGTTTCTCCAAGTGCTCGTGAAGGACTCGGCCGCGTTCCAGGTGATCGTCGAATTATCAGATTTCTTCATGACGCTCTGCTCCATGCCTGGCCCGGGGGCTTGTGCCAAATAGAATACTTCCCTATCGTAATCAACGGCCAAAAACGCTGCCTGCAGAAAAGCTCTACCGAGTTGCCAAAAACCATAAACCGAGTCGGTAGATTTGCAGGGGAAGTAGTTCACTGACTTTTCCACCAATGGCGGTTCTAGGGTAAGGTTGAGGAGATTGAAAGGGACTTTGATGGTGAAGTTGGTCGCGCTCTGATCGGACAGAACAAAGCCGAGATATGCCGATGACTTGACGAAAGTTTCAGCTTGCGGGTCCGACCCCCAAAGGTACAGTCCCGTAGCTTCATGAAGCACCATCCTGAGATTGGTCGCGATTCCTTCGCAAAACCCCGGAGGCAAATATACGTATGGAGATGCTGGGTTCGGTGTTACAACCACTGATCCAGGGGCCCCGCCGGCGTATTGGGCGTATTGTTGTCTAATCTCGGTGTTTTCCTGCTAAAAGCTGCCATTCGATCTCACAGGGTAAATAGTCGAGTTGTCAATTTCGACATCCATGATTACATCGCGGAGACACATCATCGGGAAATTGTCTGTGAGTCTATACGTGCCCACCTGCCCGATGGCCCTGTTTTGCTCGTAGCCGCCGAGAACAAAGGATCCGGCAAGGTCGAGCGCGGCACTTCCCATGTGCACACTGAAGCCATTTCTGTCGATCTCACCGGAGGCTTTGAGTTGCTCAAGGATAGAGGGAACTGTGGTGTTATCACTCCTTTCGCTTCTGGGCCCAAGGCCCAAAATTCCGACAGAGGGTTTGTAGTTCGTTTCGTTCAAAGGGGCGCCACTGGTCCAGTTTGTAGCGGCGACGAAATTTGCTTTGATTTTGATCTCGTGACTACTCCCGAGCCTTGGCTCTAGTTCCATTGTGTCCCAATACTCGTCGCCTGACCACGAGGCTTCTGTAAACAGAGTACTGGACCATGAGTCAGAGGCGCTCCGCGATCTCCCAGTCTTGACGGCACTATCTGAGACTGAGTAAACACCGCCATCCTCTACCGTGGGAATCTCAGAAACGCTGGATCCGCCAGGCCACAAGGGAATTTGATTCGTTTCCGTGCCATCAAGCTTGACGAGCACTGCTTGCCACGGTCCATCCGGACCGAAGATTGTGTTATCGAAATCGGTCGACCAAGGAATCTGTAACTGGGCTCCAACGCCTGCGGCAATAGCCAGCGGCAAGACAGCGCGGGGTGCCATAGCCTTATATCTTCCGCGTTCAAGGCTTCAAGAGGATTAGATAGCCATCTGTGTTTGCAGTCCAAAGACTAAAAGACGAGGAAGGGACAAAAGAGACGGAAATCGCTTGAGAATGAATACAGATGTCAGGAGAAGGGCAGACTATAGCAGACGTTGAGAGTCACCAGTCAGAGTTGGGTATTAATGCGACTCTGTCAGAAATTGAGGGAGTAAGCAGTCGCTTCCTTGGCGAGAGCCCCATCGCAGGCAGTCGGTAAGCTTGTCAGGTTCTGGATCCAACTCGCTCAGCTCGTCACACAATCCTCTGCAGTTAAGCATAAGCGAGATTCGAATTTGAGCAAAAAGAGGGTTTAGATGAAATACCGATCAGACTTCCCTATGTACGTTTTTCTTCTTCCGGTTTTAAACAGAACCACTATTTTGACAATATAATATATAGAGATTCTCAAGAACCAGCTTTTATCCAGTGCGTTTTCGTTCTATAACTGGGCCTGGCACATTCATAACACCCACTTCGGATGGTTGAACCAAACCGTAGTAGAATAAATAGATTGATGGAAAGCCCCCAATGAAATTATACGCGAGAGAGCGGCTAGGACAGCCCCTCATATGACGAGAAGGTGACAAGTCAAAGGATGACGGACAAGCACTCGCTTTGTGGCAGAAGTCAGGGGATCCGCAGTAATATGATGGGTTGAGGGACTCACTGAGTTGCTCTCCGTTCGGGTTTTGGCCCTTGTCGTTGGCCGTAGCCTCTTGCTCCCCCACCCCGACGCTGTCTTTGGGCCAGGTGCTCCATTTATCCTACCGACTGCGACTTAACGTCACTGGATCACGGCCCACCTGAGAACCCAGATTTGCTCCGCATATCCATTAGTACATATGCTGCCTGGATCGTGTCCTACCTATGTATTGATGTAGAGGGCTGGTACACCTGGCATAGCGTGAGTATAGAGAATGGAAGGATTGGGGAACTCAGGATTACACTGGCGAACTCGAATGAATCCATATGCTTTCATTAGCTCTAACCGGCACGAGGACTAGCTAACGTCAAATCACAGTCGATGGGATACCAGTCCACCCTCTACTAAATTCCTTATTTTGGTCAATGTCATTGGAAGACTGTCCAACATGACTGTCCAGGTTCTTGCAGAAAATTGAGATTTAGAAAAATAAGCATTTTGTTATAAGTTATATTATGCTAAGACTGCTACTCCAGCCGATCTATCTCTCACAATTACAAAGGGAGCACAATCACATCGATCCTCTTTCACCTTAACCTGCTCATATATTGCCCCTCACTCGTTATTAAAAATAATCGCTGGGACCATCGATTTTCGTCTTGATCTTCAAGAGCTCTCAGACCTGAGAGTGCCTTGTCAGCAAAGTTAACATGCCACTGGCTTCTACTCTACCTATTCTTCCTCATGCGCTTCAGTTTCGTTCTTAATTGCCACTATGATTTGTCCTGGATTGAAATTCATCATTTTCTAAACATCAGTCGGAAGCATATTTGGTCACTCACTTCTTCTTTCAGCAACATCTCACAGATGGTCAAAAGACGACTCATCTTTGCAATCACGTTTCATAAAATCGAGCTTTGCAGCAAGATCAGAGAAATACACCGGGAGGGATATTCGCAGTCAAATAAAGCGAGACCCAGTGTATGTATATCTGGCTCGTAAAGGTGTCATCATATGATGTCCGATTTGCAGTAAAAGGGTAAATTTCTGTCCCTAAAGCGGCTGTTTTGAAGATCCAGGTCCTTGAAAAGGGTATATTTGACTGCAATCCTCAACAGCTGAGCCAAAGTCGCCTCACGGAGCCTCGCGAGTTGAAGGGGTTACAATAACACAAGAAGACCAAAGATCATTCTCGGGGTCGTCGATCAGCGATAAATTGGATTGTCTGAAGGACCCCAAAAGGTCATCATTCTCCCTGGTACTTGGAGCAGGTCTCTCTGCATCGTCATCTGCTGATGGTGGTTGAGAAAAAGGTTGACGACACAAGCAAGATACAGCCGACTTTGCGATAGGGGTCCAGTACCTGTCAGTAGGCACAGAAAGGTTTTCTCTATTGAAAAAATAGTAAAGTCTCGAATATTGGTCGCCTCCTGAGCTGCCTCGATCAAGACCTGAATTCTTTCAATAAGTGATGCGACTGTATGCTGGCTTGCACTTGCTTCCGTCCCCAGCAAGATACCTGTTGCGAAGCTGGATCGTGGCGAGGATCGCATGACGGGTTGTCTCAGATATTATTGGAGGAAGGTGCTGAACCAGCGTTAGTTTCCCTGGCCACGTTAGGTTCAACTTAAGACAGCCCGCAGTGAGGCGCCATCCATTCTTGAAATAATTGGGACACAGAAGTCTTGACAAGTGGGAAGTCGGGCGCCCCCAGAAAATAAGGATGGCGACGTCCATATCGAATGATGTTTTTGCTTCTTGAAGTTGGAAGAAAAGACAGGCGCCATCACAATGAGACAGGCTTCGTGTCCCGCGTCAACATACTCGTAGTTCGTTTTGTGTCTGCACTTTCAAAGCTGAAGGCCTGAGTGGCCGCTATCGTTGGACGAATCACGAGAGCGGGCCACTGTGGCGGAATACGTACCGCAATGGGACTTTTCCCAGCATCGCCAACGCCACCGAGCATCCTGTCCGTCACGAGACGCGTGCGGGGTATCGTGCACGGCTGGGGTAAGACCCTTTATTGTGTCGTCAGGTGTACATACCTAGGACAAGGAATGAGTTTAAACTGGGGAATTTGGAGGGGGTTGATTTGTAACAAAGGGATATGGTTTGGAGTATTTGGTAGTACTCAGGTTGCTAGTAAATACAACTATCCATGATAATGCGTGCCAGATGTCAGTGATCGTGGTCGCCACCTAACGCCGTGCCCCATCCGTTGGAAATCCAAGCTGTCAAATCTGTACAGCTTTGGCGCCCTGAACGTGTCCATACGTTCCTGAATGATTCCCCCCAAATGATACCCATAACCGCTCGTAAAACGCCGTTGCCGATGCATTGTGTGTCCGTTCTTTGGTGTTGATATGTTGTGTATGATGTGGATGAAATGTGTTGGCGACCTACGCCTGATTTTGCGACTCATAAACTTCCATCGCCTTCTCCAGCGCCTCAAGGCTCGATCGATCACCGTATGCGTCCATCAACATCGTCGCTCTCTTACGGTCTTCGATGGCCTGCTTCTCTGCGGCAGCGGCATTGGCAAGGCGTCGTTGAACCATGCCCTCACGATAAGTGTTCAAACCGTAGCCAACGGCAACAACGGCGACTGTGGGTGGGATCCTGTTGTACCAGATTCGTCAGTTCCAGCTCGTATACTACAGGTTGCTACCCCAGACTCGGGAGGCCGAGGGGGCTCGCTCGGCTCGGATTTAAGACGTACCATCTCATGGCGAGTCGACGTGGAGTTTGCAAAAAGTAGCTCGGGGGCATGCGGGCGTTAGTGGAAAAGTTTCTTGATGCTTGTCGGAACATCGTATGTATTGGTGTTGGAGTAAGGGTCGCGTGTGAACTGGGGTGGAATTGGTATTTGTATGTCTGGTTCTCGTGTGGGTTGAAAAGCAAGGGATAGATAGATCTCTCGGGCTAAAAGTAGGCGTTGGGGAAGAGGCGGCTGCTGCAATGTATTCATATAACGCCTGTCTTAAACCCTCGCGCCCATCTCTGGGTGTTTGAGACCCCGTCACCCCCAACCGGTCCCCCAAGGGGCCAAGCATGGCACAGCCATCTCTAACCTGGAGGCAGACTGACCATTGAGCGGCACAATAACTTCCCGCAGGGGGCAAAGCGGGCGGTTCACGGCCCCAAGCAGTGTGACACCAGCATGGCACCACGCTCAGCAGCGGCCCCAATTGGGCATGGCGCCGCCATCGTCCCAGAGTGTTGATTGTGGGGTGATGTCGACCGATATGCGGGGTGCAATCGGCATAGCCCGGGTGCAGCAACACGACGTCGCTGGAGCAGGCAGGGCCTTGCTCGAGTTCTTTGCCTTGTGTCCTCGCATTGGAGCGACTCTCAGTCTCTTTGCACTGCGTGCTGGGAAGCACCTTGCGGGGATTGCAGCTTGAGAGAAGCTGGTTCGCTGGACTGGCTTGAACGGTTGAGGAACCCCCCTGATTGTGCATCACCTCGCGCATCTCCGTCATCCTCTAATGACCCTGTACTCCCTAAGCACAGCCACCCGCAGCTTTGTTTTGGCTTTTGCTGGTGCTGGTTGCCTGTTGCGTTTCGGTCTCAATTCTGTGTGGCCAGCTTTCTCTCAATCTGTCGGTCTCTTGGGTGGCGAGTCGCCGAATCTCGAGCTTTGACCAGACGGCGAACGGCCGGCGGAGGGCTCCGAGTCTGCCTTAGCTGGTGAGATTATGACATCTATCCCGTGCGGCTGGAGTAGCCGACAACAAGTTCGGGTTTGTGCACCAAAATTTCCCTTCCTAGCGCTCAGACTTGTTCATGTTCTCATTCTCCATCTACGATGTCCGAAGTTATCGTAGTCCCATTCACGAAAGCGGTAATTAGTTGTCGTGGATAGTGGAAGTGCCGATTCCACCCGCAAAAAACAGCAGGCTCCACCTAGACTTTGTCCCGAGATCTTGTCGCATAGCCGAGAACCCTCGTTGATGTCATCTCTGGTCCCTGGTTTTTTCGTTGATTTCATTTCCCTATCTCTTATTGCGTGCAGCACCCATGCAGCAAGCTTGCCCAATACTGACTGCGAACTCCATCTGAGCCAGAGCTTTTTGGGAATTCGACTTTGACGCGATACTGTAATCAGAATCTTGGTTGCCAGGAAGACACAATTCTTGGGCGAGAGACCCTGGCGCGGCCATGTCATTCAACCGGAATTCCATCAATGAGCTCAACGCATTTCTGGGCTTGGCTCCACCAACCACACTCAACTTGGTCTTGTGCAAAGCGTATTTCAGGCTGTGTCCACGACGTCATGTCAAAAGATTCAGCAGCTTCATACGGGAATAGCGGGAAACTAATTCTATGACGGTGGCTTCAAGTTGTTCGCTTTCAATATCCCTCGAAAATAACCTCCTCGTTAGCAATTCTGTGGCCTTATTCGCACACCACTACATATTCCAGTACCGTGATTGTAGTTCTGCGTGCATCATCAAACTACCTATTAAAGAGCTCCATTTTGTACAAAGGTCCAGTTGTTCACCTCCCATCTCACTGACCCACTATTACCACTCATGGCCTACGCAAATTTCGCCTGTCTACCTTACGAAAACAACACAGAGTTAATGAATAATTGATATTACTTGAGTAGGAAAATATCCTAAAAGCATCCAAGAGCTGCAGGTATGAACGACAAATCACTTCGAACAACTGATTCATCTTGGGACTCTTTGAAACCTAGTGACTTTAGACCCATCGCTGAGCTCTTGCTGAATCTCTTCATGCCTGTATCCAAAGGCTCTTGGCAGAATAACGAATCGTACAGCGTAATAAATGATGCCAAGAGACAAAATCGCCAAGGCTACCACGGACGACAGCCAGTAAGGTAGCGACGTGCTACCTTTACCATTTGGCGGCCGCACAAATGGCATAATGATCAGGAACTATTAGAAATGGTGAGTGATCTCAGTTGTTCTCTACACCCAAGTGGAAAGACGTACAATGTTTGCGGCAAGATAAATGCCTATTAATATCCAGGGCGCTCGGAGCGGCGATTGGAAGTTCTCTCGGTTAGTGAAGCGCAGCTTTACCAGACCAACGGTAATTGCGGTCAACAACACAGTAGTCGGATAGCTAGACAGGCTGACGACAAAGTTGAAGGCATCTCCGGCCGGTGGGGCACAAATAAAAAGGATTGTCACACCAAGGTGAAGAACGAGGGCATAAATGGGTGTGCGGAAGGGCCTGTTCTCCATGAATAGGTTTGAGAATGGCAGAACTCCATCCTTTGCAAGTTCTTGCAACAACCGAGCTAATGAGATGCGTTAGTCCGGTCGACAATACCCAGTAGTGCGCTGAGCCAGGGGTGTAACTGACGGATTGTGAAGGCAACTCCCAGGAGATGCCCGAGAGCCGAAAGAGCTACCAAGGCTGGAAGAACCCTGGCCCCGGCAGACGGGCCAAAGATGTTCTCGAACAAGGTCGCGGCGACGGTAACTTTTGCGGCAATAAAAGCTTCCTTAGGAACGGCAGCGAACTCGAAGTGAGGTTAGCTTGGCTCCTCTCTATTCGCGTGCGAAGGTTGGCTTACGTATGCAACATTCGCTAACAGATAAAGTACGGTAATGACGCTCATCGAGAGCGGCAACGCTATCTTAAGAGTTTTTTGCGGATTGCGGACTTCGGACAGTACCTGTTAAATTTTATGTATCAGTTGAACGTTAGGATTTCCAGCTACTGGGCTGAGAACCTACAGCATTGACGTTGTCGTAGCCTTGAAAGGAAAATATAACATTAAGGATTGCAGTGCCAATGTTGTATCCGCTATTCGATGTACCCTCGAAAGCATTCGTGAAGTTGTTGGGACTCTCCACTCTTAGATGTCCTGCTAAAGCAGCAAATCCGCAGCACACGATGAACAGGAGGGTAAAGAGCTTCACTGCTGAAAGCAAATCTTGGATGCCCCGGCCTATGCGAGGCGCAACGGTGTGGATTCCAACAGCGAAGACGGCTCCGGCAATTGCAATTCCACGAAGCTTCCAGGTTGTTGACTCAGCTCCGGAAGCAACGAGTATGTAGGAAGAGAATGTAATGGCATTGCTAGCCGAAACCTCTGACATATGTGTTAGCCAAAGTTCCCGTATCCATGCCTTAAAAAATGTGATTAAATCACTTACGCAAGAACACGCAGTAGAAGACGTAAATGCATGTCTGCATAAGTCGAGGGTTGAATGAGCGTTCAAGATAGTTCTTGATGCCGCCTGATCTAGGGATTGCGCTTCCAAACTCTAGCATCACGAATATGCCACATGTTGAGATGACTGCGCCTATGACCCAACACATCAGGGCCATGCCGACACTGCCTGAGAGTTTGAAAATGGTACTGGGTGTTGAGAAAATGCTGTTGTCATCAGCTACAAGTTCCGAGCTCCCATTTTCGCGACATACCCTGCGCCAATAATCTTGTTGACGATCAAAGAAACAGCACCGAAAAGCCCAATGGTTCGTTCCTGCAAAACATTGACCTCAATAACGCCAAGCTTTATATCCTTATCCGAGTCGTCACCGCCATAGCTCAAAGAGCGAGTCGCAGGTATGGCTGAATGAATCAGTGATTAGAGTGCGCTTTTCTCATATGTTAATGGAGCTCTGTGTGCTTACGATGGATGCCATCATCATCTTTTGATGCCATCTTGTCAACGCTCACAGCCAGACCAGAGTGAGTGCCACAGTGAGAGAATCGCAGGTAGCATAAACTGATAAGCCGATGTTGATTTCCAAACCCCAGGCAAACTTATAGAATTGAGGTATAAACCTACGCCTGGAAGAAATACTCGTAATCCTCGGGAAGCGTTAGATAACAAGCGAGTTCGCAAAACAAGGGAGCCAAGCACGCCATTATGGAGCCTTTATGTCGGATTAACATGCTCAGCACCATATCAGCAGGACGCGACACGGACCCTTTGGAGTCGCTCGGTACCATAAGCACAATCGAAAGATACCATAGTGTTTATCTTAGTGGTCGGACAGAAGTGCCGTACGCTTAACCGCTCCAGGCGGAAATTCTGCGCTGCAACCCTGAATTTTACTGGAGTCGGTAATATTCCGATGATGTCGTGCTTTGAACTCAGGATTCGCCATTCGGCTCTTCCAAGTCATTGGGCAGTGATAACGAACTACACCAAAAAATAGATTGAACGAACTTCTGGGGCCTATCCGACCACGGACCGACATGCTCGCATCGAGTCCGGATTTCTGTGATGCAATACCATAAATGCGACTATTCCGGCAATAATCACCAAAAGCCTTGGTCAATCGCATTCGGATTTGTTTTTACGCGTTTCTCTGACAGCGAACTCTACCAAAAATGGCAGTCGAGTTCGATGCTTTCGAGGTACCTGGTGCCAGGGACTACTATGGTCACGCCCTGCCTTACGGCTTGCAGGCGAGGCAGAATGATGGAAACTGTAGTGCTCCAACAGTCGCCGAGTCTGCGGCAGCGCTCCGCGCCCTAGCGGAGTCGGGAAAGCTTCAAGATCTTCTGGACCAACATGGAGCTGTACTGATTCGTGGGGTCGGCCATCCCTCTGCGGAGACGTTTTCTCAACTTGTAGGTGCAGCCGAGCAGGCGCGAGGCTCACGCCCTCATGTGCAAATTGGTTTGGCTGGGAAAAGAACACCGCTTGCCGACAATGTCTGGACCGCGAACGAAGGCTCTCCTAGCACTCGATTCTACCAACACAACGAGGTAACAGGCACCAGGACGAGGAGAATACGGCATCCATAGCTCACACTCCACTTAGTATTCTAGGTACACCAGGTTTCCTTCGAATATCCACTTTTACTGTGTGAAAAAGGCAAAGAAAGGTGAGTTTCCAGACCCTGTGATCTCAATGCGCCAACTAGGCGTAAAGTATGCTAACGCTATGGCAACGCAGGCGGCGCAACTCCTATCGCGAATAGCGCGTATGTATTCGAGAAGGTCCAAGCCCGGATTCCCGCGCTGGTGGAAGAGATTCGCAAGCGGGGCTTGGGTATGAAGATGGTATTCCGTGCTCCAGGGGATGAGGCCAAGGTGAACCAGTTCAACTGGGCTGGCAAGCACAGTTTCGGACAAGAGCTCTTGCCAGGCGATGACGAGGCGACGAAGAGACAGAAGGTCGAGAAGCAAGTTAGAAAACTGACATCAGACTTCAAGTGGAACGACGATGGGAGCCTTGAGTTGACGCAGCACATCCCTGGTAAGCTACGGCTACTTATCGGCGCAGTGAAGCTCCATGTTACGAGCCTATGCTGACTGATTTATACAGGAATTCGGAGACTACCGACTAGTGGTAGACCTGTGTGGTTCAATGGACTTGTTGGTCGACATGGCATCACTCGAGACATTGGTGCCCTAGATCCTCCACATATCGGCCGTGACGGCATGACGTGTACGTTTGCACCCAAACTGTTTGCCATGTTGATAAATTAATCCACACAGATCTTCCATGTGTCTATGGAGACGATGAGCCGATTCCGCGCGAGCTACTCAACAAGCTTATTGAAGTGATTGATGAGGAGGAAATCAGTCTGGTTTTGGAAGAAGGTGACCTATTGCTTGTGGACAACTTCCAAGTTTCTCATGGACGAGAACCGTGGGAGGGAGACAGACAGATATTGGTTTCCATGTGGGACGCTACGACGCCAATCGGTGTGTTTTGAAAGGCTTTTGCCATGGGGAACCGACGAGACAAGTGAACGCCAAGAAATCGATAGTTCTTGTGTAGTTCTTTGATGAGATTTCAATGCGCAAAATTCCCTAGGCTCTTATCTAGACTCTTTACAATATGGAACTACCAAAGACTGATATGATACATATTCAAGGCCTTGCTATTGCCAACATCCATCTCTCTTCCCATTGAATGATGCAATACGAGGACCACTCAGCCGGCTCTGCACCATCCCTATTATGCAGACTAGTGAGGTCTTCGGTGAAGTTAGTAGCACACGACCGTAGATCGCCAACGTGGGCGATGAAGCCATCAAGCGTTCAGCAATTCGTCAACCGCTATCTCGATAACTCTGTATCTGGTACCACGCGGTTTGGGGTGGGACCAAAAGCGCTTCGAGGAAGTAACATCGAGAGCGGGATGATCGTTGAGACAGTCCCTGAGTTGAAACAATACAGTAACCTAAAATCAGCATCGGAGCACGGCTATTTAGCAGCGGTGCCATTTTGGTCGCTTCACGGTTTCCATTGATGACATGTTGGTTTTCTGACAGAAGAAGCGAGCTTTTATCATCTCAACCAAGATGTGGCGCTGACAGGGCGTCGGATCCTGTGTCTCTAAGCTAGCCCAAATTAAGCATCGCTCCGCGTAAAAACGAAGTGTCAGGGACTTTTGTGCCAAGATTGGTCTAAGCCTATTAAAAAGTCTGACCACAGGCGAAGGATTTGAGGTATATCGTCCTTTCTCCTGTGGTCAGAAAATTATTTAACGCGATTTGCCGCCCTTCAGGTCGTGTTGAAACAATCACCGTTCACATTAAACCTGTGGTTTTTCGAAGTTCAACGACGCTCTTCCAACGAGTGGAAACCCAGCATGATTGGAGGTCAAATGGCCACACGTAGGTCTATCCTTATTCCACTGCTACTGGTATCCAGCGCTGGCGCGCGCTCTTTTGGTGGCTATGCCGAGCCTGACGGCGCGTTGTACGTTGGTGCTGATGAGCAGGTCTGGATCAACGCGGTAGCTTCCAGCAATGCGAGCGGCACTTACAGCATGCCTGGTTATGATGTTACGAAGCCGTGGCCTGGAGAGCCAATGGAAGGCTGGACCTTGACAAAAGCTGCCGTTGACATCAGTCACGGCCGTCGGGATAGAGTATCCATACCTGTCATTGCCTCCGATATGAAGATCATCGCACCGAAGTCGCTATACGTTCCGAGTCCTAACGAAAGCGATCACGGAGCGCCAGTCGTCAACGCTCACCCCGACTGGGTCTTCTGCGCGTGGCGCTGGTATCACCCGCCCTACGGAAACGGCAGCCGCGCTACAAATCCCAAGAATCTGGATGCGCCGCCCAATGGCTCATGCTCGCAATGGCTCTCCGAGGATTGCGTGAATGCTATCGAGGAACAGGCCCGCACTGCTTATTACATCAACTCTGAACCAGAGGGTATTTACGGCTTGCGCCATGCTTGCTACGATATCGACGTGCCAGACGAGTGTAAAGGGAGTGGACTAGATGGGAACGAGCCTTTGCTCACAAGTAGGTGTTCAACTTTTTTTTTATAGCTGTCTTTGAGTGGATTATTGGCTAACCAAGAGTTCTAGCCTGGGGTGTGCCATTGAAGTACCTGAATGGTTCGACAACCTGGCAGGGCGGGTATGTTGTCGACGAGGGTGACACTGAGAAAGACAAACAAGATATGTGGAAGACTCTTACGCAAAGCTACCAGCCCATCTTGACAATGTTTGGACGTTACAGCAATGACACAGGAGTAAGCGTAGAGCCAGGCTTCGCGAAGCTGAGCTGCATACGAGCCCATGAGGCGAAGTCTACCCAAAACAACGAAGGTAGCGTCGGCAATGGAAGTAGCGGAGCAGACAACAGTTCCACTGGCGACGGTGAAACGGGAAATGACGGTGGTGACAAGAATAGCGCTACGGCACTTGTTGTGACCAGCACTGTCATGTTTGCAGCATTCATATGCTTTGCGGTAGGTCTATAGCAGCTGGAAATATCCGGCGAGCATTGAGGATTGATGGAAATAAATATTTTGATTAAAGTTATGTTGTTGAACGTCTCATTGTGTTGGTGGACGTATAAGCAGAAGCTCTGGGACATTTCTGTTTCAACACAGCAGCACCCATTCCCCGTAACTGTGAACTGTCATCAATGTGCCCCATCTGCTTTTTCTCTTCTTGGATAGTTGATCAGTTTCAACGTCAATTGATGTCACTCGAGCCTAATATATTTATGAGTTCGTCTTTTCCAGTCACTTTCGACATGGCCTGACCAAGCTAAGTAACTGAACGTGTATGGCGAGACTAACGGTAATTACATCGTTGAAAAGGGGTCCAAACGGTACTTGTTTGCTACCCAAATCTTTTCAATATCTGTGTTTTATTCTAGTGAGTTGCACGGGTGCTTGTAAGTTTACCTACAAATGCTTCTTGTCAGTCTTACAAACCATGTGAACAACCGTTAACACCAATAACAATGGATACATGTAGTTTGATAGCAGCCCAAACTCTCACTCCATCAAGATTGCTACCAGAACCAAAGTGGAAAGAACAAAAAGATTTCGAGATTCTTAATATATAAAGAACCGCATGCCGTGGTTTGTCTTGCATACACATATTGTCGGTGGTCGATGCGGCTCTTGGTACCATACCCTTAAAGGGGGGAGAAAAACATGCCATAGCGGACCATGCAACAATTTCCGCATCATTAACATAGAAAGCTCTCTTGAAGGTGTACAAACGTCCTAACACTGACCATAATAGTAAAAATTTAATCCATGTCTTTGATGTTGTTCTGTTTCGGCATCAAGAGTTAGATTTCAGAATGAAAGGGAAAGGGTATTCAGTGCCAGGCGGAAGATTCAATAGGAAACAACTGTCCAAGAAAACAGAAGATATCCCAACCTCCTGTAAGCAGATTGTCCTCATGGGTGTCGGGTAGAAATATCTCAAATTAGCAAAGAACACTCTGATGTCGTGTCCGAACTCAAGAAAGATCTCCAGCGGACCACTTACGTTGTAGCGGCAATTGAATCGGCTCTGCTCGGCGAACATCATTGCGAAGGCCGAATGGAGCCACTTGCGCCAAGTTCGACCCCATAAAGCTTGAATGAAATGCAATGCGCGATCCGGGGTAAATTGAGCCTGGCATTTAGCCGTGAGGGGTTCAGCGCAAAACGTCATGATCCCACCGGCTATTGGGCAATATAAAGCTCGCATATTGAGGTGTGAGGCTTCTGAGTGCTTGTGGTATTACATTATGATACTCGGTTGTCTCAATACTTTTGGTTGCCTGGCATGAAGTACGCCTCGAATTTGTCAGCTTTTGCTACGGCACTATTTGCCAGTAAGTCTTTTCTTGGAGGTTTGAAATTAAGCGATTGCAGCTTACCAGCCAAATAGCGTTTGCAAATTGCCTTGTGAACCCAATCATCCCGGGATTCAACCCAGATCCGACTATCATCAGAGTGGGTGGAGACTTCTTTCTGGCTACCAGCACATTCGAGTATTTTCCCGGCGTCCCTATTTATCACTCAACGGACCTGTAAGTGACCCTCACGAATTACTTTGCACTAGTCTAGTTTACATCAATTAATTCAACGAAGTGTGAAATGGGACAACATCGGGCATGCGCTCAGTCGACCCTCTCAGCTGAATTTGCGCGGCACTGCTCCAAGCGGTGGCATCTTCGCGCCAAACCTGAGACACCATGACGGCACCTTCTATCTAATTGACACTGCTTTTGATATTATCAGCCCTCCTGACAATGTAAGAAACTCACAAGCGGCTCAAAGCTTTCTTCATTTTACTAAGCTAACATTGTCTTGCGTGGTAGGTAACGAGAGTGCCTCGTTCGTTCTATGTGACAACGACAAACATCTTCGATGAAACTAGCTGGAGTGAACCCACCTATGTAGATCAATGGGGATTCGACCCTGACCTCTTTTTTGACGACGACGGCAAAGTTTACCTGACGACGACATTCTCAGAGTTTGTTGAAAATGGTAACTTTGCTAACTGGATTACCGAGATTGACATCAAGACGGGCAACTCATTGAGCAACTCCCGGCTTCTCCACACCACAACTGTGCCGCCTGAACTTGGTTATCCGCTTGTGAGTCTATCGCATCGGTGCATGCGGTACTTGGTGGAGTATACAGGCTGGAAAACTCACTGACGAACACCTTTTGTAGACCGAGGGAAGTCACTTATATAAACTGAATGGGACATACTACATGCTTACCGCCGACTCGGGAACCGAAAATAACCACAAAGCAAACGTCTATCGCTCCAAAACCTTGGAAGGCCCATGGGAAGGTAACCCGTACAACCCCGTTTTGTGGAACGGAAAAAACATGTCTCTCCCCGTTCTTGCAACAGGCCACGCAGACATCGTCGACGACACCGAAGGCAACTGGTGGGCAGTGTTCCTAGCCACTCGCCCCCAGAACCCGAGAAACAGCAGTGGACTGCCTCAACTTGGCCGCGAGACATTCTTGTGCCCCGTGACGTGGGACGAGAATGGCTGGCCCATTTTCAATAGCAATGAGCCGATTAGCGAGCATATCCCGGGTGTCCTATACGACCTTGACAGACCTCTAATCTGGCGTGACGATTTTGAGGGCGGGCTGGTGGACAAGTCATACTACTACCTGCGGACGCCATACAAGGACTTCAAAGACTTTGAGTCTAGCCCAGGAAAACTTCGTGTCAGAGGGAACGTGTATACGCTCAATGACCGAGAAACCCCTGCGGCGCTACTTCGAAAGCAGGCCGACATTAACGCCACCTTTAGCACCGAAGTCAGCGCGTTTAGACCAGACTCTTGGAGACAAGAGGCAGGTGCTAGTGTGTACCTCAGCATCCACTACCACAATGAAATCGCCATCGGATACTCGAATGACACAGGCAAGAGATGTATCGTTACTCATACCAGAACTGGTCCCGATGCAACGCTGAATACTACATATGTCGAGGACGAAGAGGTTGCCTCGGGTGTTCCGGTGAAGCTTTTCATTGAGGCAAAGGAGGTTGGTTATCGGCTTGGATATTCGACTGGCTGCAAAGCTCCGCGGTGGCTCGCCAGCGTTGAAAACCGCTGGTTGCAGTCCTATGTGGAGGGCTGGCAGAACTTTGTCGGAACGCACTTTGCTATCTACAACACTGGCAATAAGCTCCCAACATTGAGTGCGGCTGTATGTCACAATACCTAATTCTCTCTACTAATTTTCCATTTGAGCTAATAACGTTTGCAGGACTTTGAGTACATTCAGACGGAAATGAACTAGATTTCAAAACCGTAGTTACCCTGCTTTATCCACGATGGTCACTCGAATGGAGTCTCGGTCAGGCTTTTAAAAATCACACGTAGACCATATTGTAATGAGAAATCGCTTGGTGCCCGCGACTTTTTTGTTGACCACTAACAACCTTAGACTACGGTTGGTCGTCTCTCGATGTTGATCTTCATGCTTGAAGAAACCGACGCCGTCCTGACCATGTATCTGGCTGCCCACCAGCCTCTTTATAACGACTCGATTGGACGTCGGAAAGAACTGAAGAGAGATCTGGAGAAGCTCCATCATCAATGTCTCGACCCAGGTGTACCCTCACGTCATAGACGAAGACCATATTGTACTTTGATATCTTCTTCGCCTCTTCACCTGACTGTCAACATCTGGGACGAAGTTTATCAGGGTAATCACTAAGTTTTCTAACATCCGTTGCGTAAGATCCTGCTGCTATGTGAGTGGCCAACTAGTAGCACTTATCGCTAACGCGCACAATATGTAACAGCCGTTTGACTTGAAGATTGAAGATGGGACGTTAGACAACGTCAGAGTTATCTCTCGTGACTGAACCTGGTTAACGTATAGAGCTTAATGTTGAATGGAAGAATTTATGTACCATCAGAAGACCAGCACGTCTGAAAGAGCGCGGAGCAAACCTGTTCGAAAGTCTGCGTTTACTCTACCGTATAGATGATCTCACCAGCTAATTCTGACGAAACCATGAAACTATTCAGAACAGTAGATTTCAAAATGAGAGTACCGCGATGAAGATGACAAGTACGGGAGGAGACGCCTGATTGCACATAGACAGTACCGGAGAGCCTGTTGTGTATACACAGAACTTGGTAGCACCAAATTAACCAAACATTGAAATAAGCCACCAAGTGTATAGAGATAACCCCCAAGTTTATGGAAAAAGAATGTAAAGTTTTGCCTTTCAGCATCGAGGTAACGTTTACAAGCGCAATGCTGTTTCCTGATAAGAATTCCCCTAGTCTACCAAGGCACAACCTCTCCTGTGTGCGTGATAAACTTCCCAGAGGTAGTGTCTCTACTAGCACCATCGATGACATCGAGGATTCCATTGGCAGAGCTGGCGATAGTATCCGGAGGACCAGGCTCATGATTCCACTCTTTGGCCGCGTAGTTGCCCATGTATGTTTGGACCCATCCGGGATGAACAGCTACACTGACCAAGTTCTCATGCTGAGCATGAAGTGACTTGGTAAGCCAGTTCAGCGCGGCCTTGCTCGGCCCGTACGCGCCGCCCGGAAGGGGTTCTTGAGATCCGATGGATCCGACAGAGGAGGTAATGCCGATAAACTTCGCAGAGACATCGTCTACACCCCGAGGCTTATCCATCAGAGGCCAAAGGCCTTGGAACACCATCAAAGGGGCGATCGTGTTGATCTCGAATGCTTTCCGGAGGTCTTCACCAGCGATTGCTAGGGTAGGGGTCATTGGGAAAGGCGCAGCGGCGTTGCTGACAAGGACGTCAACACGGTCGATTGTACCCAAAGTCGCGGCGTTAAAAGCCCTGAGGACTTCAGCTGGTGATGGGGCCTTGGTGAAGTCTAAGAGCATAATATAAATCTCACTGTCGTTACCCTTGGCTACACCCGCGATAGCAGACTTCAGCGACGCAACACCTTCGTCATTGCGGACCGACGCAACAATGGTCGTAGATGGTCTGACAAACAAGGCCTTGACTAGACCAAGGCCTATGCCTTTATTGGTGCCCGTGATTACATAGACTGTGTTTTTCATGGCGACTTTGCGTCGGCTTTCGGAATTCAGGGGTAAATCAGGTGCTCCTGGAATGGCGGCTTGGAATTATGGTGAGTGACTGAGTGTGCGCACAGGACAGTATCACGTGAGTCGGCTTGTGATCATGAAGAGGAATAGAAGAACAGAAGCCAAGAAGAAGAGTTTGCGCATCGAACGCTTGAAAGGGGATTGGCAAAATGAGGGCAAGGGGCCAAGGCACGTGCAGGATTGGGGCTTACTGTGCCATGCATGCCGAGGAGCACACAGTTCTCGTGACATTTCCTATTCTGATGGTAGCAAAATCCGTGTCTGTCTATCCACTGCTATCCACGGTACGCAATATACCTCTCATACTCAAAAGAATCCAGTACATTCATCCCAAAGCATGAAACTCGGCATGCGCTGCATCCAACCCATTAGCAAACCCCTCAGCCGCGCTCAGCGCTCGGAGACGCTCTTCCTCCACTCTTGCCCATGTCCACTTCTCGTCATCCTCCGAACCTGATCCCCCGCCCGCATGCTTTTCAGCAGAGCTCGGTTCTTCGGAGCCCCCGTTAGTTGCAAGAACTCCCGCTGCCTGGAGGAACTTCTCGGGCGGCACCGTAAGCCGGCCAGCCTTGACAACACACTTAGAGATAGCTGTAGCAAATACAACAAGAGGTTTTGAGGCGGCCTTTCCTTCGTCAAGCCTCTTCCATGGTTGATACGTGTAGGGCTCGGCCCCTTTTCGCTTCTCTGCGAAGTGAGTCACGACATACAGCCACTTCCTGTCCCACGTAAGGATTCGGCTGTACATGTCAAAGGCGGCGCCGGGCTTGATTTCCTTCTTGAAGATGCAGGACGTGCCGGCCAATAAGACCATTACCCCGTTCTTGTACTCTTTGTACAGCCCGCCGCGGATTGCCTCTGCTCGCAGAGCAGCGAGGAGGTCAGTTCTTGCAACATCGAGGTCGGAGAAGTAGGTGCTATTGGACTTGTGCAAGTTGTAATCCATCTCCAGTAAGGCGACGCGTGAAGGCGTAATAACGGGGCGGAATACAGAGCCAGGCTTGCGTTCAAAATGGCCCCTTTTTGGCCACCAAATGTTGCGGAAGACACGAAGCTACCCACGGGTGTAAGTATACATCCCCAACAATGATGATGAGTTCATCAAAGGTGAACACTCACATGCCATACTAGTGGAAATCTTTTCAAGTTGGCGTACAAAAGCGTGGCGGTCACTGCTCCCCAGGCTGCTTGGGCTTTGTTATTGGTGATCCATTGTATGGCATATTCGACAGCTCTTCCGAGATTTTGCTTAGCTGTGCCCAGAAGAGCTGTTAGCTTTGTGTACGCTGCCGAATCCATTGCAACAACATTTAGTCAGAAAATTGGCAACTATACCACTTGGGTTCTACCGTCCAAGTTAAACAGGAGGCTGTAGGTAGATCGGTGGAAAGAGATATCCAACACGTGGCAGCTCGAGTCAGGGAATTGGGAGTACCAGCACTGAGTCAGGCGCAATTTGCGCTGTTGGAAGTGTAATTACCTGCGACGGTTAGGATGAGGTCAAATATAGAGTTTAACTCAATAGATTGACGGTGGTTTGTAGCAGTCAACACGGCCCAACGCCGCACACATTGACCTTACTGTCGTTCCCCAGCCGCGAGGGATACAATTTCCGGATGTACCAGACCGTAAATAGGGTCACACTCACTTTTTGAAGCAATTTCAAAACAAATACTCCCAAGAACGTCATGCATATGCGTCTCTACTATCTTTCAGAAGCCAAGTTCGTCCGACGCTGAGCCATTCATCCGTTTGTGCCCTCCTTTACATGTTAAGAAGTCGACATAGCCCCATTGCAACCCAGAAGGCAAGGAGCCGCAACGAAAATATCGGCCGTGCCGGTGTGGATTCAGGTGGCTGATGTGCTCGTGATATAACGGTTTCTAATTGTCCGCTACGTCTTCGCGTCGGTCAAGATACCACAGTCTCGGGCTTTTAAGTTCAGGTGGAGCCGACAAGCGGGAGAATGCCGCCCTAGGTTTGAATATCAATTTAATAGCATCCTAGACCTTTACCGATGCATCGGCAGTACAGACCCTTAATTTGGCTCAATCGTTGTCCGATCAACAGTCGGTCTTGGACTGGTCTGTGATGCGAGCTGAACAACGCATTGCGACTGACTGCCTCTTCTACATAGTCAAGTTCGACGGTGTATCCAAGCGGTACTCAGACACGACTAGTGGGACCGGGATAAGACGTTCAGGATGCCACGACGCATTTTCCACTTCCCTGGGCAGCAGCAGTTCGATTAAATCTACGGCGTCTTTCAAAGAAACAGATTCAAATATTCTCGATTCTTAGTTAATGAACAAATCCATTGTTGTGCATAAATCACCCGGGCGAAATGATGTCCAAAAGTCAATCATCCAATATTGCCAAAATCAGTGGAAGCACAGGCGCTGTAGCAAATGAGCCGTCAGAGCTCGATCGATGAACATGCATGCATCCTTTCGTCTGGAGAATTAAACATGAGCCAAGCCGGGAAAAGGCATTGACTTTAATCAAGTAATTGCGTACCTGCTTCCAGTAACATGCACATGCACAGGCTTCACAGACTCATTCGCGGCTCCAAGCTACCTAGGCGACGTCTAGCTCCTTCAGCGCAAAGCCCTCTTGCTGAGATTACACCAAGCTAAACGCGTCAAAGGCGGTAGCCTGTCGTTTAGGCACAAGCTGTAAGACCACGTCGGCATGCCACGCCGCGTATCATCTTGTGCGCTTTCCTGCCGTCCGCTGATGGCCCACGCGTCCAACGGAAAGCCCCTGAAAAGTGCCGTCATCAAGCGGCACAACCATGAATATGCTAGACCCAACCACCAATCACTAGCATCAATCATCTCGGTAATGTCGGTGTGACCACCAATGGCAGAGCCGCAACGGGGCCAGCAAATCATCCTGTCCACACATTCATGACGTAGAAACTCCCCAAATACGAATCCAAGCCAGCCAGGACGGCTTGCCGGCCGATTGTGGGGAGAACCAAGAGTTGCCTCAATCCACAACGCCATCCACAACGCCAATTTTGTCGAGCCGGACTATGGCATTGGCTACTGACGTCAATTGGACCGGGAATTAAGTGGGCAGCTAACTAGCTTGCGGCTCCCCGATGATCTCACTGTTGTTTACCATGGGGAGGATGACTAGTGAGTGAGCTAAAAGTCAACACGGCCGAGATTATATGAGGTGTGGCTTATTCCTCAATTGAGTTGAAGCTTGAGTTGCTACCCCATATCTCTCGTTGTTCTCAAGTGCGGTTGACGACCATACCATCGTTCGCGCAACCCAACATTATGGCTCGCCAACAGAGTCTGGGCTCCAAGCTCCTTCATGTCCTGCCCTTCGTTGCCTACTCATCGGCATCTGCGCTGTACTCAACCTATAGCTTCAACCCCTTGACACATCTGGGAGGCATCGCTCCCTACTTCGAGTCACAGGACCCTCAGTCATCCCCCGATGCCCCGCAAGGTTGCACAGCAAAGCGTGCTGCCTACCTCGTGCGCCATGCAGCCATCTACGCAAATGACTTCGACTTCGAGGAATACATTGAGCCCTTTCTTGAGAAGCTGGGCAACAAAACGGGCATTGAATGGGGCAAGATCCCGTACTTGAACTTCTTGAACGGCTGGGAGGCCCCCGTCTCTGAGGCAGAGACGTCACTCCTAACGCGTGTGGGAAGACTGGAGGCGGCGGGCCTGGGAGTCGACCTTGAATTTAGATACCCCAATCTGAGACTGCCTAAGAGAGTCTGGACTTCTTCTGCCGAGAGGACTGTCAAGTCTGCGCAGTCTCTGGTTCGTGCCCTTGAAAGCGACGACAACACGATGAACCTCGTCAACATCTACGAGTCGAAGGAGTCAGGCGCCGACAGCCTGACGCCCTACAAGGCCTGCCCGGCCTACTCATCGACTGCCGGTAGCGAACAGTCCGAGGTTTTCCAGGAGAAATACACGAAGCCCATCATTGCGCGCTTCAACGCTCTAGCACCCGACTTCAACTTCACCACCAACGACGTCTTCGGCATGCAGCAGTTGTGTGGCTACGAGACCGTTATTCGCGGAAAATCACCCTTCTGTGATCTCGATCTCTTCACTCCTGACGACTGGCTTGCCTGGGAATACACGGAAGATATCAGATACCATTACAACGTTGGTTATGGCCTGGATGCATCCGGATACATCGGTCTTCCTTGGCTCAACGCTACCGCGAACCTTTTGCTGCAAGATAGCACGACTGATGAGGACATCTACGTCAGCTTCACGCATCGTGAGCTGCCTCCGATGGTTGCGGTTGCAATGGGTCTTTTCAACAACTCCGAGTTCGTCGGCAGCGAGTCCCAGATCAACAACACAATGCCGCTCGACCGCATCAACTACCGCCGCGCGTGGAAGGCGTCCAACATCCTCCCATTTCTTGGAAATATCGCCATCGAGCGTTTGAACTGCTCTGGGGCCTATGGATACGAGGATGGTGACTATTACCGTGTCCTTGTGAACAGCGCACCGCAGCCTCTGGCCGACTGTGCTGATGGTCCTGGAACTGCCTGCTCAAGAGATGGATTCAGCAAGTACCTGAAAGAGAGAGTTAGCAAGTTCTCCGGGTTTTCAGAGAAGTGCGGCGTTGAATACGATAACAGCACAGACGTTCTGTCAATTTATACGGACGCCTCTGTTGGCAACGGCACTGTGGTAGGAAAGCGATACGAAGCCTTTTCTCAATGAAGCTTCATGTAACTAGTTTGTAACTTTAGAATTAAATAATGTCTCTTACTTTACCTAAATTCAAACGAAGAAACACGACCCTATTACGGTGGGGTTGTCAGTTACCTCATGCTTTGACATAAACATCTACGGCATTCCATGGCCAGCACCAAGCTAGAATAATTTTCCCCGGAGAACAGTCGCAAATCCGGCAGTCTTATAATCGGTAACCAAATATCGACTCTTGATGCTGGCTTGTTCATGCACCCTGACATGACTTGTTGCCAGCGATGGACCACGGCCTGATTTCCACATTCTCGGGTTGATTGTCGACGGACACCATCTACATTTCGAGGTGGTAACCAACTTGATTGCAGTAAAGCGGGATACAAGGATGCTTTGTGAAATGAAGCCAGTAATTATTGCCAATATAAGCCTTTCTTGGCTGAGTCTGAAGTTATTGTTTATGGTTCATAGTCTTATTTGAGACACCCGACGCACCCTTTACGATATGAGTATCAAGTTCTGACGATGCGGCCACGGAGTTTTGTCAGAGTCAATGTAGCTGGATATTCGTTTGTTACTTACTGCATCGTGCCTCCAAGCACCACTATGCGTAGTAACGACGATTAGTTGTTTTCACTATCATTTCCACGCATGTAGAATCGCCATAAGGTCCATCTACTCATAAGGGATCTAGATGATTGCCACTGCCAGACCTCATCGGGCGGCATTCTTGCCTAGCCTAGTATGACATAAGGAGTTCTGAGGAAAGCTGGAACAACTGGCAGTTCTCAGGGATAATATGCCGTGGACTTATAGGACGTATTGACTGTCAAGTCTTCTAAGAACAACTTCAGAAACCACGTGGACGAAGCTGGTGGTCGAGGTCCGTATTTGCGAACCCGCTAAGAGTACAAGGTGGCTACCTCAATGTTGGCTGCCCCAAAGAGACCAGTACATTCAAAGTACACATGCCAGAGATACCCCTTGCTTTCCAAAAATCATCATTCTTGGGCAGCTCACTCGGACCTGGAATACCTGCTACCATCGTCGCTGACGCACCAGGCCCTCTCTCGGGCTTACGATCGGCGTTCGCATTGCTGATGTTGGTGTCGAGAACGAGAAGTAGTTGGTGCACTTCGGCCAAGAAATGCGGAGCGGCCCGCGATGGCGCAATCAGTACCTGTCAGTCACCCAAGATCGTGGCTTGGTATGGTAGCATGCCGGCAAGGTATACGATGACTAGGGGCCTAGACTGTTAGCTCTGTGACAACAATGGAGAAACTGCAGGTTGATGAACTGAGAGATCCTAGACATCTGTCCAGCAGTTTTTGAATGCGACTAACAACTCTCTCAGTCTGCATATAAGATGGTGCGCAGTTGACGAGTCGCGATCCAAGATACAAGGATGATAGTGTATTCGGATTGGTTGCATCCATATGACCCTAGCACTCTCAATAATGTTTTTACCTAGTTTCCATCAGTGGTATCGATCGTCTTCGTCATCCTCGTGGTCTCCATTGTCATTCCTCTTCATCGGCCCGAGTAACGAGTTCAAGCAGAGTGTGCTAAGTTGGCTGGCCTGTTCCACTTGGTAGAGTCATTTGAGACCAAGCCGCATCTACTGGAGCCCAAGTCTTCCATCTCGGATATAACAGTCATGCGATGACCCCGGGCTTTGGGTTCGTGTGTTAATACCTCGGTGATTATTGTGAGCTTGCTTTGGGCATGATAATCGCGCAACCCCCCAATCATGGTAAGTTTAGGGTCTCTGATCCATTAAGCCACTTTCATCGGCCACTGCAACCAGCTCCCATCTCAGCTGTTACTAACGCACCAACAAGCCCTGTAAGCTGTAGCGTAAGGGCACTTGACATGGTGCACTAGTCCTCTAGACTGCATGGCGACTGCCGAAATGCCGGGACTATTTTCTTCGAACCAACGGCAACAGTATTGAGCATTACACATCACAACTACGGCTACAGCTCGGAAATTCCGTATCAGGGATTTGCTCGATTGCGCCATCACCATCTGATTAATGTTACGTACCGTAATGTTACGTACCATTTTACCCTTTCAGATTCGATTGAGAAGGAACCTGACTGTGGATGCCGATCTTTGGCGTAAATGTAGAATCCGAATGATGCGCACCTTATCCATGGAGATAGGGACTCTAGTTTGAAAGCAGTCTAAAAAGGACAGGACGACTGTTTCACATTGGCGAACGCAACAATCGACATCAAATCTAAGTAGTGGTTTATGCTGTACAATGTATGAAGTTTTTCCATATCGCGGATCAAACCTTGAGCCCCATCGTGGTTGAATTGAATGATTTTATACGTCAGGGAACATTCGCCATGTTGGTGGTTGCTGTTGTCATCGCCAAACCCTGTCCATCCTCCTCCTCGGTCCCCCACTTCGGAGCTGGTCATGCCATCTGCCCCTCCGATGTTGACATCGCAAACGGCCCGTCATCGTCAGCAGCCCACTATCTCTTCCCACGAGAGTGCCGTGGTGCAGCAGACATTGCAGGTAGTCCCAAGCTAAGCCTCTCAAAAAATTGGGAATGTGCGATCAAATGGTATGCCGTGGAAGGGTTGCTTTCTTTAAATAGGCAATATGCCCCAGGGACGAGGTTTCTTGAGTGCAAATCATACAGTATACTTGCTAGGAACTGATTAGCTGGGGCATTCCGATATCACATTCACAAATAATCGCTTGAGAACGCCATCTTTTTCCACTTTGCTGCTTTCAAACAGCCTTTGAACATGGCCTGGCGGCGACCGTTTGGTAAAGGAAGTGGTGCAACGGGAACGGTAGTGGAAGAACAAGGGAGGCAAGTTTCCACTGGTAGCGTCCAGTACATTGGCGAGAAGGGAGGTAACGATGCGCCGCCTACTTACCAGGATGCCTCAGGTGCGCCTGTTGAGCACAACTCCCCGTTGGGATACTCTGTCGGTCCAGTGACAATCACCTTGCTGAATATCACCATGATGATTGGCGCTGGTATTTACTCTACGCGTAGGTTCTGAGCCGGGTATGCCTAGTCATATGTATTGACATCTATCAGCGGCCAGTATCTTGGCAGGGACCGGTTCCGTCGGTGTTAGTTTTGTGTACTGGACTCTTGGTTATCTAGTAAGTCTTCTATCAGTTTCTTGGCTATAAATTAGGGAAAACTTATTCTGACCTTTGAAGCTGTGCCTTGCATCCGGGGCTGTCTACCTTGAATTCACCGCGTATTTCCCAAGTCGTTCCGGTTCAGAGGTCGTCTTCTTAGAGCAGGCTTACCCTCGGCCTATGTGGCTCTTCCCAACCACCTTTGCAGTTCAGAGTGTCATTCTCTCATTCGGAAGCGCCAACGCTACAGGTCAGTCAATTATCAAGTTAAGTTACTCGGGCCGTAGGTGAGCAATACTGACTTAAACAGTCATGGCCAACTATCTCATTGCCATCTCAGGCCACGAGGGTACCAATTGGCAGATCAAGGGTACAGCACTTGCTTGCTACAGTCTAGCAACCTTGAGTAAGTCGCCTGTTGAAAAGTAGCGGATGATCCTGTCCTAATTTGTATAGCACTGGTGTTCAACACCAAGTACGCCTACTGGTTCTCAAACGGTGTTGGCGTAGTCAAGATCTGCACGCTGGTTTTCGTGATTATTACCGGCTTCGTCGTTCTTGGCGGTGGCACTAAGGTTGAGAACCCCACGGCCAACTTTCAAGATGCGTGGTCTGGTAGCTCGAAAGCCAGTGCATACGGCATGACAACTGCGTTGTACCGCATCATCTTTTCATACGGAGGATACAACAATGCCTTCAACGTTGCCAACGAAGTCAAGGTACTAACCAAAAAAAAAATATTCACTAGTCAATACGAGCTAACATCAACACTTACTAGAACCCCGTCAGATCACTGAAGATATACGCAACAGCAGCTTTGACAACTGTGTACATTCTATACATGTTCGCAAATGTGGCTTTCTTCGCTGCTGGCAAGTATACCCTAATCTAGTTCGTTTACGAAATATTAATTAACGATTGGTATTGCTGCAGTTCCGAGAGACGAATTTGAAAACTCCGGCCTCACCGTCGCCAGTCTGTTCTTCACACATGTCTTTGGCAACAGCGGCGCCGTTCGGGGCCTTAACTTTCTCATAGCGCTTGCCTCCTTCGGCAATATGATTGCCGTCATAATTGGGTTGTCTCGCCGTATCAGGGAGTGCGGTCGACAGGGTGTCCTGCCTTGGACTACGTTCTGGGTTTCCACCAAACCTTTCGGGACCCCTCTCGGACCATACCTAGTCATTTGGTTCTTGACTGCTCTAATGATTCTTGCTGTTCCAGCTGGAGATGCATTTACCTTTGGTAGGTTTGGCGATTTATGATCGGGGCCTTTCAATCGCTGACAGTAGAACAGTGAATGATCTCGGAATCTTCCCTGCTGCTGCCTTCAATTTGGCAATGGCTGTAGGTATCTATGTTGTTCGCTGGCGCCGCAAAAAAGCAAATCTCCCCGAGCCTGAATTCAAAGCATGGCATGTGGTGATTATCTTCAACATCTGCATCCAGCTCTACCTCCTCATCATGCCTTGGTATCCCCCTGCGGGCGGACAGTATGCTGGCGATGTGAGCTTCTGGTACGCGACTTACGCCGTTACTGGTATTGTAATGTTAGTAATGTTTCCTCCCGAGTTTCTGATTCCAAATTCTGAACCTCTTTGCAGCCTTCTTACCTGTGCCATCTACTACTGGCTTTGGGCATTCCTCATCCCCAAGCGGAGAGGCTACAAGTTGCGACAGGAGCTCATCAGTCTTGATGACGGAGTTCAAAGCAACAGACTTCGAAAGATCCCAAATGCCGAAGTTGACGCGTGGGATGCTACACACGATGCGTCTGGGCGCCTTCTTGGGCCTTCTGCTAGTGAAACGCTTGTGCAAGAGAAGGGGCTGAGAAGCTCTTCGGAGGGTAGTAACTCGGATGGAGGCAAACAGGTGCCAAGTACTATTCGTGAGAGCGGCAATGTCTAGTTTAATATCCGGCAACGAACGGTCTTGGACTATTCCATCTTGCCCAGGATTACAACAGTTTTCGAGAGAATGCGCATTCACGCTACATAAAGCGTGCTTGTTGCTTTCAGGGAGGGGCGCTATCGGCTCTAGATCCTAACTTGGCGTGTAAAGCGATGCATGCACTTAGCGCCCCAGCACAAGCTGTCATAATTAATAGCACTGCATTTCCAAATCCAGGGAAGCGCAGTATCGCCTCTTGCGTATCAGCCTGTTTTTCCCCCATACATGTCTCGGTTCCAATTGAGACGAGCACGGCTGCCGGGTTTGGTCATCATGTCGTAGTGAGCCGCCAACCCCCAAACCAATCACACAAGTGGCGATCATTGCTGCATGCGCCTGCTCCAAGCCCATGTCGCCGGATGACATCATGTAGCTTTACTTTCTTTATCACAGGCTTGAGCCCGGGAATCAGGCCTCTACTCTACATACACACACACCATCAACATTGCGCATTAAACAATACCAAATCGTTAATCGCCAAACCCTTTTCGATCATCTGTAACCGCCTAACACACCTAAAAATGGCTTCTAACATCATTCGCCGAAGGGTACAGCCCTCGCTTTTGCACCCAGCTCGCCAAGTGCAATCCGCAATTCGCGCAAATGCCACCCCTTCAGCACGCCGCTTTTTGAGCGAAAAGCCCGGCTTAGAATCGACAGATATCAGAGACATTGCTGATGCCAGAAAGACGAATCCCCCGCAGCCCAAGATCTCAAATGCCAGCGTGGCAGGAGAGAAACTTACAGAGGAGCAACAGAAGGAGGTAGATGAGCACAATGAGGACTTCGAGAAGAAGCACGATACTGCAGCGCCTGCCGAACAAGATAAGGTTGACAAGAAGTTCTGGTCTAACAGAAAAGGAGGAATGTAAGGACTGTTGCGGTCAGGGCTCAAAACCAGGAATACTTGCATTTCGATGCATGGTCGATGTCTAGATATCTTCTGATGGTGCTGCGTGGATCTGCTGTCTTACTAGCAACAAATGCGCTTCATAAATGCAGTTCGATACTCCACTGGAGTTAAAATCATTATTTTGCACGTGTACGATGCATTTTTCTTACCGTTACAAAGGACACAACCTTATATTACATCAATGTTTTGCAAATACCGTCACGTGGATTCGCGAGAGCGCACGCGGACGTTTGAATGCACCTCAACTATTGTAGCTCCTTTATAAGACACCCTTACGCACACATTTGGAGGCTTTGCCTGGAGAGTTCATGCCAGCTAGAAAGTCTCATATTGATCTTGCGACTTGTGTCTTTCAATAACATTTCAGTTTACGTTGGATACTTCTCTTTTTGTCGCTCGTTTGTTGCCCAAAGTTAGACTGACTCTGGCACCAAGGGCCTTTTATTCGAGAAATCACATTTTGATTAACGTAAAAAATATATATGGGTTTCTCACCCACTTGGGTTCATCCACGAACTCAGCCAGTGAAGTTGGTTTAAATGAATGGAGTCGGTCTCCCTAAATAGCCGGCAATGACTACCACAAACCGTTGTAGGACCTAGAATTTCGTAAGGTCTCTATTTAGGTGAACTTTTAGAGTATTGCATGGAATATAATTCTAAAATTGGCATATAACAAGGTGTGATGCGGCATAATAGCTACGTCTTCATGCTTCACGGATTACTGCAGTGCTCTTTAAGCACGTTATCATGTGAACTTATAAGACTAGACTTACTACACAGAAGGGTTTTGATGCTCCACGACTTATTCTTTCTTGAACTTCCCCTGATTTGTTTTGACCTGTATTTGACAAGTTGAACTGGCGATACCGTATCTCAAAACTGGCGGCTCGAGATATACCACACTCCGCTTGGTTCATGAAGCTACAGAAGCCCCGGTCCAACATCCACTGTGATAAATAAACTTATACAAGTCCAATTTGCATGAAGTTTTATCTCGGCTAATCGATTTCATCTCCAAGGCTAGGTTTTTAATGACACCTTGCGGGAATACCGAACGTCGGACAAACCATAGAACGGATTCCCTCAACTTATAGCCAGGTGCCGCCCTTTTCAACAACCGACCTATGCAGTTGCAGTATCATTTGGTTATATGAATGAACCTTGGCGTTACCGTTGCAGTTAAGGGCGAAGTGCTTCTGAGGAAATGAGTGTCTTTGAGACCATTTCAGCCCTTGTATCATGAAACCAGTCCTCACGGTTCTTCCGATGATTAAGCTTGATCGAGATAAAGTTACACAACGAACAGACAGCCTAATGCTGATCAAACAACACCACGGCGCCAAGGCCTTGATGGTCTTGGCATACCAACCTTGAACCATGAGATGGCACTCTCAGCACTTAGTATCGAGTTGCAAATACTTCCGTTTGCCAGTCGATTATTTTTAACAACGGAATTGGTCTCCATGCATCCCGTCGGCTCTTAGACAGCGCCAAGATACCATACAGTAGTATGAAAGTAGCGAAATATAGGATCTCGGCGAAAATATCTCAGAAGTTACTTCTGCTATCCCATGCACAAACAAGGTCCCGTCGTTGATCGCGGTAGACTCTCCTCACCCAAAGTCTTGGCTCTTGGCGGCTGCCAGCTGGCGCCATGTCTTGGGAGCTCCGCGTCGTCGATTTGTGTTTCCATTACGAAAAACCCGCGCTGAGCCCCCTGGAAAATGGGACTGAGACTATGCGAATTCGGCAAAGACGCCTGACAACCATCCAGCGATGCAACAGACTCAAGCTTCGCGGTACCTCATGAGCCTGAGGGAGCTTAGCGCGAACTGTGTTTGACGAAGGCGCGAGGTTTTACGTTGCCATGGATGCATGAATGGGAATCAATCGAGCAGCTGTTACATCCGGTTCACAATCTAGGCGACAGATACCATCGCCATCCTGAAGCCAAGGCATCTGAGGCGTTTCCAGGTTCTTGGATTTATAGCAAAGTTCGAATGGCCAGCTGTTGAAAGTCGTTGCACACGAACAATTGGACGCGGCGGCACGATGCCACAAACACCCAGATAAACAGACATGTCTCTGGCCAAGAACCGTGGTGGTACCCGAAACGGCCCGTTGCCCGCCACCATGAAGCCGTCGGGGCTTGCTGTAATCTGGTGATCACCACACTTGTGTCATTCTCGCCGTTTCTCGGTCGCAAAAAGAGGCAGATCAGCAGCTTCAAGTCGGTTTTGCGTAGACTCGCTAACCCCCGTAGTACGGTCTTGGCTGTGCGCACAATTTTCTGCTGGATCGCCCAAAAAGCATCCATGTCGCGACTCATGCGTCGCCCATTGCCCAACGAGCTTGGGACGGTCATCTTCGGAGAAACGCATGAGCAACAAGCGTCGGGCAGTCTTGGCTGCATTCCTCGGTCACCAGAAGGGCAAACCCAGAACGAGGCAGGGTTGAAACCTTGGGCAGATTGATCAGTGAACAAACCGCAGGGAGTAAAAAATGCAAAAGGAGGGAAAATGCTCGCGTGCTCTCCTACCCAGTCAATTGCCATCGTGCTCTCAAAATGGCAGGAGGGCACGCGACACAACTTTCTGCGCCGAGTCTAGCGTCGGATCATTTGTCTTGGCGACATGGCAACGAAGTTGAACAGAGACAACCGAGAAGACAAGGTACATAGGCTGCGATGGAAATTTTGAGAGTGAACTGAGTTGACAACGTGCTCTCACATACAGTTGTGACTGGCTGGACTCCTTGAGGGATCTGTTCTCGGTACCTTGAAAGCCAAGAAGGCCAAGTCCTCGAGTGGCACCCACTTCACCAATCTCAGCTCTTGGTGTGGATGAGTGCAGAGCTCGGCGCAGACTGGGCATCCGTCAAGAACATCCACTTCGATGGGTCGAGACGTCGAGACAGTGACACCCCGCCGGATCAGAATACCGGAACTGCACAGAATTGCTCCCTAAGTCGATTTTTTTTTCGTCACCTCGGCGCAAGCTGGGGCGAATGCATTGTCGAAATCTCCAGTTTCCAGAAACATGACCCTGGAAGGGTAGCCCTCGTGCAGAACGAGAGGAGGAGAGAAGACCATGCGCGGGGCACACGTGGATGTTCGTCTTGATAATGTTGACGTCCTGCTCTGTATAAAGGATCGTGGCGCTCCGAGACTTTTGAGCACCTTGAGAGAGGGATTCTCGACAAGCTTTTCCACTCCGAGCCCGTTCTGCACCCCAAGCTTCTTCAGCTTGCTGGTGAAACCTCTTTCCCTTCGTCTTCCTCCTCCCAACTAGGTCAGCGTCTGCTCCAACTGGCCGTTCACCATGGCCGTCCTTACGCAGTACGACTGGATCATCGCCGTCATCAGCATCGCCTTCTGCGGTAGCTCCTTCGGAAACGGTGCCAACGATGTCGCCAACTCCTATGCCACCTCCGTAGCGGCTCGGACCCTCACCATGCCCCAGGTTGGCTTTCTGTCCATGTGCACCGAGTTTTTCGGCGCCGTCGTGCTCGGAGCCCGCGTCACGGGTACCATCAAGAACGATATCATCGACCTCGACCGCTTCCGCCAGACTCCCTCTACTCTGATTCTCGCCATGGGATGCGCCGAGTTTGCTAGCGCTTTCTGGCTGCTTGCCGCCACCAAGATGGGCTACCCCGTCTCTACAACACAAACTATTGTCGGTGCCCTCGTCGGTGTCGGTCTCGCCGCGCAGGCCCAGGTCTCTTGGTCATGGAAGGACGGCAGCGTCTCTCAGATCGCTGCTTCATGGGGTGTTGCTCCCTGCATCGCTGCCGTCTTCGGTGCCGTTCTCTTCGGCAGTCTCAAGTTCACTGTACTGGAGCGCGAAAACTCTTTCGAAAAGGCCATGAAGGCCATTCCCTTCTACCTTGCTTTCACCGCCGCCGTCCTCGCCCTATTCATCACCGTCGAAGCACCCGGTGCCCCGTCTCTTGAGGAGCTTGGTGCCGGCACCGCCTGCGGTATCGTGCTCGGTGTCTTTTTCGGTGCCCTCCTCCTTGCCTACGTCTTTTTCGTCCCTTATGTTCACCGAAGACTCGTCAAAGAGGACCCTCGAATCCGCCTTCGTCACATCTTCCTTGGCCCTCTCCTGTACATGGAGAACCCTCCCATCTACATGCCTGCCAAGGGCAACGAATTCGTCATCGACTACTACGCGAGCGCCCACGATGAGTCCCAGAACACCAACGACGCCGATATTGAGAAGCAGACGAAAACTGAAGGCGGTAACGACAACGGGGAGAAGCTCGTCGTTAACGACAACAATAGCACCGAGAGCCCCAATTCTGCACCCCTCTCTCTTGAAGATGTCGAGCGCGGTAAGAAGGCCCCCGCGCAGGGCGCTGTCGTCGAACGTTACAAGCGCAAGCCCGAGCCCGAAGAGCGTTTTCTTGCACCGACTGCCCACCTCCCTATCACCAACCCCAAACGCATCTGGAGCTTCATCAAGTACTTCTTGTTGCAGGGCGTTACCCGTGACTGTGTCACACATGCCTCCTCCCAGCTTTCTGCAATCCACGGCAAGGCCAAGAAGTACGACAACCGTGTCGAGCATCTCTGGACCTATGCTCAAGTTGCCAGCGCCATGATGATGTCCATTGCTCATGGTTCCAACGATGTTGCCAACGCTGTTGGCCCCTGGATCGCTGCCTACCAAGTCTACATGACTGGCGAAATCAGAGAGGATGGCGAATCCCCTATCTGGATTCTCGTTGTTGCCGGTTTCCTCCTTGGTGCAGGCTTCTGGTTCATGGGTCATCACATCATCAAAGCCATGGGCAACAAGCTCACCCAAGTACGTATTCATCGTACAAGTATAAAGCCGCCTCTGAAGCTAACTCGACTACAGTTGTCTCCCACGAGAGGTTTCGCCATGGAGCTTGGCGCCGCAATTACCGTTCTCCTGGCAAGTCGTCTTGGTCTTCCCGTCAGCACTACTCAGTGCCTCACCGGTGCCGTCATTGGTGTCGCCTTGATGAACTTCGACATTGGTGCTGTCAACTGGCGCCAGGTCGCTTTCATCTTCTCTGGCTGGATTGTCACTCTGCCTTGTGCCGGTCTGATCGGTGGTTTGCTGATGGCCATGTCTCTCAACACTCCTCAGTTCAGTCAGGGCTAAGATCATTATGAGAATAGGGAAAATTGGGATCATGGTTATGGCGTTAATGATTTCCACAGGCAGTATCTAGAAGGGGCTTGCTTTTAGCACAGAGGCATTTAAAAATATGCATATACTATCAATTGAATTTTGCAAAGAGAAGAAATGAAATCGAAACGTCAGAGGAACTGAACATGAACTTTGGCGTTAGTCACTTGACCTCGAGCATGCGACATTGCTGTTTTAGGTCTGTAAACTGTGACACTTCCTAACTTCTCAAAGACTGAGACTATGTGGGACTCACGAAGAATCGTATATTGTTCGTTTGGAACCCTTTTGCTAATTGGCTCTAAACACGTGTATCAGTGGGCCCGCAAGGTTTGTTGGTTACTCATAGTAGCTCTTCTTCGATTACGACCACCTTTTGGTACGAGATATTTCCTGCGGCTTGCAATACGACTTACTTATTAAGACTCATAAATGTATAGATCTGGTTTCTATGAGTCGCTAAAAAGACCGTTCACTTATCTCAGTCCAAAACAGTGAACATCTGAGAATCTCCCATTGTATTCGTCTGCAAGAACCCTTTCCACCAAAGACGGAAGTAAGATGGATACTTATTGACTTACTCTAGGAATGTCTCCAATACAATATGAATTGGCAACTCGAGGTAGGGATTAACACAACCACCCTGTTAACGAGCCACCCCCACATCCGAGCCACCATCGGCACCACCATCACTACCACTATCACCACTTATTTCACTCCCTCTTCCACCCACCCAGATGCAACTTTTGGCTTCACTAGATAATTCAGATGTGCTGGATTTATCTAGAATATCTGTATTGCCGATATCTGTATTTTGTGCCTACTAGATATGGGCTATTGTTGTAAAGGTGCTGTTAGGAGATGTTGGGACCTTTTTCTTTTTGCCCTTGTGCTGGTTATCTAGACAGGCCTGCAGATCGTTGGCTTATTACTCTACAATTGCTAGTCTAGATGCCTGCTTATTATATCCCTTTTGCAGCTTTTTAGATAGGTAATGGATAGTATAGGTATCTAGGGTATCCTTTGCTTAGCTGGTTGAATAGATGTAACTGATGCTGTAGATCAGTAGAGTAATGAGGGGTTAACTATGGGATAGTAGATATTGCCTTATCTTATTGCTGGCTGCTGCTTTGTTGGCTAGCTGGCTGGCTAGATAATGCTTTTAATACTAGGGAGTTAGATAAAGGGTACTGTATAGATATTGGCTATAACTTAGCTTATTTTTAGCTAGACTTTATGTTTTAGGTTATTATTATTGCTTTATATGTATTAAAATAATAGTCTAGAAATGCTTTTTTATTAGTAATAGTTAAGTTACTTATTTAGTTATTTAGACTTCTAATTTTTTTTTAATATGTTTGTTTTAATAGGCTAAAGACTGATATATTTAGAGGCTGGAGGATAGTAGAGGAATGTGGTAATAAAAATAGTAGATAGATGTGATGCTGGAAGTATTGTTATATAAAGTCTATTGTTATATAGCTGTGATGGCTGTCTAGAATTAGTAGCTTGGCCTTGTCTGGCTGGCTGGGCATAGTCCCTGGGATGAAGACCTTTTTTAGCTACTTAAGGGTAGTCTGGTTATTTGTTTAGCTATTATCTGATGCTGTAAAGTGCTAGCTAGCATATCTAGATAGGTTGGATGATAAGAACTACTGAGCCTGGACTGACTTACTTTTATATATAATAAGGGGAAGTAAAGAGGTCTTAGTAGTAGACATATATTTAATTAGTGATATCTATGTTTTAGATCTAGGCTGTTTTTTCTGGATATATTGTGATGCTGTAGAGCTTAGTATTAGCCTATTGCTTCTTTTGCCTTTTATAATGCTAGTCTTATTTATATTCTATTGGTTAGATAGATAGATACCTTTGATTGCTGGTAGATCTAGATAACTGAACTATTCTTGGATAGTATCTGTAGTATGGGCTTTATATTGCTTAGAATTGATTGATTAGTATCTTTGGGTCCTGATTGATGGGTATTGCTGCAGGAATCGAGCTATTTATCTCTTTCTTAGAGGTTGCTAGGTATCGCCTATTATACGCTCTGCTAGGCCCTTTACTTGCTGATAGGTAAGGGCACTGCCTAGGGCAGCTTGGGTAGATATATAAGTAGTCAGATTAGCCTCTTGTGACTGTGATAATTGCTGATAATTAACCTATGTAGTATTTCTGTTTTGCTTGCTGTGTAGCTGATGCTGAAGGGTCTGGTATAGTATACCTTAGTTATGAGCAGCCTGGCGGATAGGGTAGCTATTTGCTATGTCTATAAGGGCTTGTTGGAGCTCAAACTTAGTGTATTGCTTCATGGTGTAATAGAGAAGGTATCTTAAAAAGATGGCGTTGTTTGGTGATAAATAGTAATTGTTATGATAGTTTGAAAAAAGGGATGTTCTTGATGATGCAGTAATTTTGGATGGCTTGGATGTGGGGGTGGCTCTCTTGTGGGGTGGGTGGGTTATTGCGATGCCGCAGAGCCTAGCACCAGCCTATTGTTTCCTTTGCTTTCTATGATGCTAGTCTTATCTATATTTTATTGGTTAGATGGATGGATACCCTTGATTGCTGGCAGATCTAGATAACTGAACCATTCTTGGATAGCATCTGTAGTATGGGCTCTATATCGCCTAGAATCGATCGATCGGTATCTTTGGGTCCTGATTGATGGGTATTGCTGCAGGAATCGAGCTATTCATCTCTTCCCTAGAGGTCGCTGGGTATTGCCTGTTATACGCTCTGCTAGGCCCTTTACTTGCTAATAGGTAAGGGCACTGCTTAGGGTAGCTTGGGTAGATATATAAGTAGCCAGATTAGCCTTTTGTGACTGTGATAATCGCTGATAATTAACCCACGTAGTATTTCTGCTTTGCCTGCTGTGCAGCCGATGCTGAAGGGTCTGGTATGGTATACCTTAGTTACGAGCAGCCTGGCGGATAGGGCAGCTATCTGCTACGTCTGTAAGGGCTCGTTGGAGCTTAAACTCAGTGTATTGCTTTATGGTGTAATAGAGAAGGTATCCTAAAAAGATGGTGTTGTTTGGCGATAAATAGCAATTGTTGCGATAGTTTGAAAAAAGGGATGTTCTTGACGATGCAGCAATTTCGGATGGCTCGGATGTGGGGGTGGCTCTCTTGTGGGGTGGGTGGGTTATTCTGAGATATAATCACTTGGTGAAGGTTCGCTGGCTTGGAATAGATTATCTCCCCTCACTCCTATGGGCAAAGGACGGACCTTGCCAGTTAGGATGTTATCTTTTTTTCAATAGCGTTCCGCGTTGAGATAAACGCTAGCTTCAATGTTTTCCACAGTCTAATTTACTGGTGAAATTGGTTTGATTCTCAATGTCATGAGGAAGACTATTCCAACCTCTTCAGCCGGCATTAGTAGAGGAAATTGAACGCATGCGGTCATGAAGCCTCGACTTCCTTGTAGTCTCATTAGTTGGCGCGCGGGTGCAGATTGAATCGCTCAACACCACTTGAGATCATCTTCCAGGTCATCAAAATTTTCCGTACGAGTTTATCGGCACCATGTTCGAAAAGTCTTGGGGGGATTCTTATTTTCATCTGAGTGTTGGCAATCTTGGCCCTAGCAGAGTGCCCTCCACACCCTCCCATTCTTGAGCCGTCTCAAAATAAGTTTCCAGTCGCGGAAACTGTGTTCGCCCCTTTGTCGGGCTGGTCGCTCTCTCGCAGACATGGCTAGCCGGGCTGTTTGTGTCATAACATGGGATGGACGACCCCAACAGCGGTCGCTTCTTGGCGGCTTTGTGAAGTCTGCTGACCACTGTCGATCCCAGGACCGTGCGGTGCAGTGGCCGGCAACTCCAAAATCTCATACAATTGGGATTAGAGATACTGTTCGGATGCACTGTGATGCGGAAGAACGGAAAGCATCCAAATTGATTGCGGTTATTGCACCAAACCGTTGCGGGCCGCGCACTTTGTAGATAGGATCTCGGATGCTTGCCGAAACCCGGCTCGGGGTCTTGGTGATAACATGCCCCACTATCATTGGTCGAAATGGCAGAATTCCCATTAAAATTCTACGAAATGGGGTTCACTACGGGTTATCGATAATAGATATCGAGCGGTTATTGCACCCGTAGGCTTCTGACGTCCTCATCCGCGGGGCGGACGCGACATCTCGGGCGAGATCGAGCTGTTATCGACAACTCCGTCACAAGCCGGGCGCACGGATGGGCAGAGATGAGAGGGTGTGGTGATGCGCGATGTGGTAGGCATTACCCCATTGATGAGGGACAATCCTTAGTATACATAGGACGGCTTGTTCGCGCCTGTTAGTCTCTCGAGTTTCAAGTTCTTCAAGCTCTCGCGTTCAATTAGTACTTTATTGGACCAATACTCGATCTGTTCGACTTTTTAAAACCCTTCCACATCACCAAACCGTCAACATGGGATCTATGCCAGCAGGAGGATGGAGACAGCTTGATGTCGGTGTCGTCGGCGGAGGTATTGGTGGCATGAGCGTCGCAATTGCCCTCCGCCGCGCAGGCCACAAGGTTTCCATCTACGAGCGCAACGACTTCGCTGGTGAAGTCGGTGCATCCGTCTCATGCGCCGCGAACGGCACCCGCTGGTTGCACGAGTGGAATGTGGATGTCGCAAAGGGCGATCCCGTCGTCTTGAAGAGTCTCATCAACCGAGACTGGAAGACGGGTGAACCAGTCAGCGTTTACAGCCTCGACGACTACGAGAAACGTTGGGGTTACGTTTATAACATGTTTCATCGTCAGTACATGCATGCGATGCTCAAGGACACGGCGATGCAGGAGGAGGGCGAGGGAACCCCCGCAAAACTGTTTCTTAACCACAAGGTAAGACTTCTTACTTGTTGTTTGCATTCTTTGTGGCTGACTTTCTCTGCAGTGCAAAAACATCGACGTGAGCGCCGGAAAGGTGGAGTTCGAGAACGGCTACTCTGCGACTCATGACCTCATCATCGGCGCCGATGGCATCGGCAGCGCGGTGCGGGGCTTCATCGGCATTCGGCCGGAAAAGCGCCCCGCCGAATCCAGTTGCTTGCACGCCAATGTCCTCACCGAGGACGCAGTCAAGGCCGGTCTCGTCGATTATTCCCAAGACAGCGCTCTTGAATACTGGGGTGGTCAAGAGGGCAAGTGGGACAAGATCGTCCTCTCGCCCTGCAATGGCGGAAAGCTGCTGTCGTACTACTGCTTCTTCCCAAGAGAAAAAGGAGATTACGTGAACCAGGCCTGGGGTGTTGAGGACCGGCCCGTCGAAGAGTTGCTTGCGCCATTCCCTGAGTTGGACAAGCAAATCCTCGCGCATCTTGCTATTGGCAAGGATATCCAGCCTTGGCGTCTATGGATGCAGTACGTTGTCACACATACCCAATCATTGGTTCTCGGTCTTTGGTTCTAACATTACGCAGCGACCCTTACCCTTATATCAACAAGAACATGGTTTGCTTGCTCGGCGATGCAGGACACCCTGTAAGTCGTTGATGCTTCTTCTGCCACTAGAACGCCACTGACTCAGGTACCTAGATGATGCCTCACCAAAGCCAAGGCGCATGCATGGCCATCGAAGATGCCGCTGCGCTTGGAATTCTTTTCCACCCTAAATACTTCAGCGGAAACGTTGCTGAGACCCTGGAGGTCTACAACACCGTCCGGCTGCCCCGTGCCACCCGTGTCCAGGCTGCGGCTGCCAAGGCCGCGTACAACATTAACGAGCGTATCGGTGAGTTCTGTTACTTTGCGGTGACGTAGCGGCTCTCTTACTGACATTTTGCCCAGGTTTCTCAAACAATACCAACACGAGCACCTATAAGGTAGCAGATGAAAAGGCTAAGCTGACGATCGAGGAAATGAACGCGTGAGTATTTTGTCCTGCACTTATTTTCCGAAACGCAAATTAACGACTCGGCAGATATGACATGTACAAAGACATCGAGGAGGCCATCGCTCAACAAGCAGGGGCGCCATTTAACCACAAGTTTATCAAGGGCTTGCCGATAGGACTTGAGTTATCTCCAGGTGTCATTGTTGGACAGTAGGATGTTGTAAAAGCGCGAGTTTATAGTACTCTATGTGTCGCGATGCCCTCACGCGCATCGCGCAGCCTTGTGAGATTTGCGCCGGGCCCGGATTAACTATTAGTCTGGTCCCTTCGTGTGGATCCACCACACAGGATACGTATTTATTCGTTTTAGACAAAATAATCCTACACATAGAAATCTAAGCCGTTTTCCTTATATCTTTTTTACCCTAAGTAGTAACTCTATAACAATTATAAGCCTAGCTTATATTATACCCTTAAACCACTATATTTAAAGTATACTATAGGCTAAAAAATCTCTTTTAAACAAACTATCTCTATTCTCTTAAACTAATATCTCTAATATAACGTACATGCATAGTGAGCAGATCAACATAGTGAGCGGATCACTTTCCTCTTCTTTCTTACCTTTTCTCCTTATAACAACTTTCCTCTATGCATAACTATAAAATCCTCCTTAAATAAAAGCTGCATTATTCTTACACTTAAAGCTATCTAAAAAGACCTAAAATTATCTATATAAAAAACAGCCTTTATTTATAAGATCCTATTCTTAACCCTTAACTATTAACGTATTAGATAACTACTATAACAAAAAACATAATTAAAATTAATAAAGATGACTAAGCTAAAAGAAATAGTGATTCTTAAACGAGTTATTAACCTAATTAATCAAGGATTTCTACCACGACTTAATAACGTATAAGATATAGCTAATTACCTCCTTAATAAACGTAATATAACGTATGTTAGACCTTGATAAGCAGAGAACTTTATATAATATTAACTATAACTAAAAACGTATTTTTAATATAAAATTAACTATTAGAGAGTATTAGCTAAGGATCTTATAATTATATAGGCTTAGTTTACTTTTATATAAAATATAATTATAAAATATAAAATTTATAATAATAATATCTATAATTTTAATAAAATAAGCTTCTTAATAGGAATATTGTTATATATAAAGGTTATTATAACCTCTAATTACTATAAAAAGCCTTATATAAAGTAGCCTAGTAATTATAAATAAGTTTCTATTATTTAAGGTATATATATAAATAGCTAAGCGCTACCTCTATACGTTATTATTAAAAGCAAATATTACCTCTTCTTATAGTATACTAATAGCTAATTTTTACCTTAATAGTATATCTACTTTAGTAAAAATAAATAAACTATAAATAAAATTAGCCTAAATTAGCTATAGCATTTTAAAAAATACATAAAGTCTTATACAAAAGATATTAAATAGCTTTTAATCCTTAATAGCTATAACAGCTATAAGTCTACTAAGTTTAATAATTACTATAAGGAATATAATATTATTACTTTTTATATACCTCCCTATTTATTATATAAGCTTTAGCCTCTTAATATTAGCTATTTTAGTCTATTAAAAGCATTATATAATAAAAAAATTAAAAAAATAATATAAATATAAATTATATATATTACTAAAAATAACTTCTTTTTTGCCTTTAAGGTAACTTTTTTTACTTTAATAAGTAAAAAAAATATATAAGCTAACTTTAAATAGGCTAACTTTGTCCCTTTTAACCTAGAAGTAGTTATTTTTTGCCTAGATTTTAAGCTAAAGACGCTAATACTATTTAACTTACGCCTAAGCAGCTAGGGCTCTTAGGACCTAAAAACACTAACTATAGTATATAATATTATATAAAGCTTTATATTACTTAAGAAAAAAATTACTAGTTATTAATATAGCTTATTAACCTATTTATATAAAATAGTTGATTTATAGGCTAAAGGTATTAGTAAGTTAGTATATAAACTAGCTCTTATTAAAGCTAAGTGTTATAGGCTTTGTATGACAAATGAGATACTAAGTAAGCGTTAAAGGGCTAAAAAAACCTAACTATGTCTTAGAGGGTCCCTTAATGTAGCTAAAGCAAAGGTAATCTAGGTAAAGAAGAGTATTATTAATGCTAGAGGCAAAAATGTGCGTTAAGAGGGAGCTTATATAGAGAGAAGTGAATTGCGTAGTTAGCGATATAGTAATTACAGAAAGACTAGATATAACATATAAACATGTCAGGTAGTTTAAGAGACCTCTAAAGAAGAGGATAATGAGTAGTTTTAATTAATTTCATATAATACTGCTGAATTAACTTATAATAATAGTAGGAAGGTAGAGAAAGGTGATCTGCTTACTATGTTAATCCGCTCACTATGCATATACGTTATCTATTTTTATTAAGGTTATAAGAAAACTTAAGATATAAAGTAATTAGCTCTTATAATATATAACTCTTTAGCTTAAAGTAAAGTTAAAGTATATCTAGGAATTTATTAACTTAGATAAACCTAAATAAATAAATAAAAATAAACCTAAATATCCTAATAAGATCTTAAATACCTTAAGGATTTTTACTTTTAATAAATTTATTATTAACATAAATCTTAAATAAACTAATAATAAACCTCTTCTAATAATAGCTAATTTAAATATTAAGGTTATATACTAGACATATATCTTAAATACTAATATAAAAAAGGCTATTTAAAAATAATAAAAAAAAGCATTTAATATAATTAATATATAAATAAAAACGTTAATTACTAAATTACTTTTTAAGCTAGCTTAAATAAAGACTTTAGTATAAAACTAAATAATACTTTACTTAATACTTAAGATTCTTAAGTAATAATATATACTAAGTAACTTATCTAGCTAAACTATTATTTAAAAAAAATATTTAGCTTTACTAAATTAAGTAACTTTAAGTATTAACTTATTTATTTAGTTAATAAAATAGTAAAATTCTTACTTTTATATAAAAATCCTAGACCTACTAGAAGTCCAAGGTACCTTTACTTTAAGAACCTTTCTAAGAGCAGTATTATATAGAATTACCTTATCTTAAGTAACTTATAAACTTATAAAAATTATCTAAAATAAAACAATAGGCTTCTTAGTTAAAAACCTAAATAACTATATAATAATCCTAACTAGTGTTTTATAAAAAGACTTATTAGTAGTAAAATACTATAAGAAAAGGCCTAATATCTATATAACTTTAACAAATTATCCTGTTATATTAACTAAGAATAATATATACTACTTTTTATTAAAGAACTTAAATAAAGCATATATTTATAGCTATTTATACTACTAGCCTCTACTTAAATATACTTATATAAAGAAAACCTTTACTAGCTATTTGCCTAGACTAGCCCTAATTACCAATAATAATACATAACAAATCTACAATTAAATCAATAACCCTTAGAATATAGACCTCTAAGCTGAACTTGCTTAGAAAGGGTAGCTCTAAGTAATCCCTTTGTCCTAAAGAAGAGATCTTAAGAGATACAATAACAAGGTTAATAATAATAAAGATAATAATAATAAACCTAGTAATAACTTACAGTAAGAATAACAAGGGGTTATTCATAAATAGTCACAAGGAAAAGTAAAGAAGAATAAAGGTAGACAGAAAAGGTATATATATATTAACTGTTAAGGTTTTATTATATCTTTTTTCATTATATAAAACTGTCTAAGTAGAAGGGATATCTCTTAGTTATATAGAAAGTCCCTTAGATACGTATAGTATCTAAGTGTATATCTAAGCGTATATCTAAGCGCCGAGAGGTACTTATAGTTTTTTATATATATATATATATACCTATATATGCCTATAGATAAGTATAAGCGCTAATATATATAATGCTTAGAAGTATATACGTTTATATATAGTAAACTACATTAGTTTATAGTAGTTTGTATTAGTATAGTTATATATAGTAATATATACTTTTATAAGTTATTTTTCAAGAAAAATCTAGAAAAAATAACTATATATTTATAGGACTTTGTTACGACCTAAAATCCGGTTAGTGACTAGTGTAGCCTAAGGTAAACCCTTAAAGCAACCAGTAGGGCAGCCAGACGATTCAAGTATACAGGTCTACAGCACAGGCCAGGTTCAGATCAGAAGAACTAAGAGAGGTCACATAATAGATCAATAGGATCACTAGTAATCCCATATAATCCCCTAGCCAGGATCATTAACCAGCAAGACTAATCCCTCACCTAGGATTATAAGCAACAAGAATAATCCAGGAAAGTAAGTCTAGATATAAAAACATTTATTCCAAGAAGATAAAACCCTCTATAGCTCTTTAGTAATTAACTTCATAATTTATTTTCTTATAAGTAACTCTTAGATTATCTTTTTATTATAAAGCTATAAGCTACTTACACCTAAACATACCTAACTAATTACTAAACACTAATAAACTAATAAGATTACTAATATAACTTACCTTACTATTATTAAGTATTAACCTTAGCTACCTATTAGCAAAAACCACTACTATTAGATATCTAACTATAATACTTTAATTACTCTTATTTAATAAATTAACCTTAATACTTACTAAACAGTAACTATATCCACTAAAAGCACTCTAGCTTTATTTTTAATAAGCTCTAAGGGGAAAACACCTATACCTCTTACCTCTAAGAACCTAAACAACAAAATAAAGGATACTAAGAAATCAAATAATAAAATCAAATTTACTAAAAAAATATATAAGGATTAATAAAAACATATAAAGTAAAACAACAATAATATTATATAACTATAAGCCATAGTAAACAAAACTACTAACACCCTTTAAGCAAAAACTCTAGAGACTAACAAGCTTAAACAACAAGTCTAGACTTTACAAGAAGCCACTAACATCATCTTAACCCACTAAAAGAACAAGAGAAACTCAAGCTTAACTCTTTTACTACCTATAATAAGACCTCTAGAACTTTAAAAGGATTCCTGATTCAGATTAGAACCTACTAGACATTCTACACAAATAACTTCTATACAAAAACAAAAAAAATTATCTATATAAGTACCTTTTTTAAAAGATAAGTATTTTCTTAATTTAAGCTTTACCTAGAAAATTACTTAAACAATAAAACACTAAAACACTATAACCTAGAAACCTAGTAAATCTTTAGAAGCTTTA